AGAGAGAGAGAGAGAGAGAGGGAGGATAACCATTTGATTTATCTTCAGACTTGGATCATAGCTTTCAGACTAAAATGTTTGTCTTAACTCTTTAAATATTGAAATCAATTCCTAGCCTATTTCCAGGTATTTTGTGATTGGAAGCAAGGCAGAAGGGGGGGGAGGCTTTTTTCATTGGCAACTGCTTAATCTTCACCCCTGAACATTACACAACATTAACACAAACTAGCTGTTCAAGTGATACACAGAATTAGAACCTTGCATAATAATAATCACACCCTGCAGGTTCTGCGCCATCTGTGACACACGACAATGTCATGCCAGTGCATCATCATCTACGTAATATGGCTCAAGCACTTTGTACATCAAGACAGCTGGGAGAGGTGGAAGATGCATAAAACAGCACAGGATTAGGGACCGTTCATATGAAAAATCTATTTTCTAAAAATCTATTTTCTATTCGCGGTATCTTGTGATCACGGTCTGTGCCCTGAATACCCCGCAGCGTAATTACTGGCAGCGCGACCCAGTTACTTCCAAAGCTGTTATTAATTCTCGGCTGCGCTCGGAGTGATCACAAGATACCGCGAATAGAAAATAGATTTTTAGAAAATAGATTTTTCATATGAACGGTCCCTTAATTCGGTGCAAGTTTGGGTCTCTTGGGGTGTCAAACTGTATCTATGGTCGTGATACTCTGGTACCTGCAGTACAACAATTCAGTTGAACAATACTGCATTTTCCTTCTCTTAGGGTGCATTCAGATGCACACATTGTTCTAGCAAGGTCGGTCCAACTCTGCAGGAGATTCTTGCTAAAGTGCAATCAGTGGGACAGCTTAATCAGCGCTGGAAAGTTAATTACCTAGCTGCTCGAGGAGGTGTGTCAGACAACTGAGCTGATTTCAATGATTGCACTTAGTGAAAATCCCCCAAAGACTTGTACCGACCTAACTAGTACAATGTGTGAACCTGAATGCAGTCTAACATCATGTTATTTTTGAATATCACAAATCAAATAAATTGTGTTTAGACAGGCAGACAGATAGACAGACAGACAGAGGGAGAGAGTGCACATGACATAAGGTCAAAAGAAATGTCACACTCTAGCCAAAGTAAATGCAAATGACAGCTCCTGTACAATTTTTTTCCTTCTTAATTTATAAGCATTACTTATAAATAATTGAATTCATAAGTAATTTGCATTTTTTTCATCTCTGTAAACAATTTATTAATTCCATTTCATCTAGATTCATATATTAAATTGTTCATATATGGTAAATATTATATAATCATCATTTTGTAGGGGATCTTGACGCTTAAAAATACCAATTACAATGAATGTACAAGGAACAGTGATTGAAATAAATAATTTATTCAATATTGAAGCACTGGTTTTGAGATAAACATTGCTTGGTAGCAGACAAATTCTCTTTGTCAAAGCACCAGCAATAAAGCTCAAATCAATATACAGCATATAGCACATGCTATAAGGCTGCACATGCCTATTTATTAAACACCCATATCTTATAAGTTATCCGGCCACTTGATACATATTGGAATATTCAACATGATATTGTAGCATAAGGAACTAACAATATTACACACCCATGTTATTAGATGTGCTGGGTTATGAATTAGTTTAGATAAATTCATACATAAAACTAGTAAATGTCTGCACCATGTATATCAGATCAAAATGTACAAACTTGACAGTTATGTAATGTAATTTGTAATGCAATGTAATGTAATGTAATGTAATGTAATGTAATGTAATGTAATGTAATGTAATTTGTAATGTAATGTAATGTAATGTAATTTGTAATGCAATGTAATGGTGTATAACAATAAATCAATTTAAAGGTATACAGGCCACATTTGAACATATTTCGAAGTCGTATTTCCTTTGTCTGTAGACATATCCTGCAAAGCCCCTTGTCTAATCTTCCCAAATGTAGAACTTATAAATGATAAAAACCCCTCAAATAAAAGTACCTGATATCCATATTTCTTTCTGTGTAATGCACAGGTAAACATGAAGGTGAAAGTGACTGGACAGTTATTTAGAACTTATTTTTAAAATTCTATAATTAGAAATGATATGCATTGATCTGTAATTTTTGTGATTTGCAAGCTTTTCAAGCTTATTCTTTCTCAAATCCTTGTTCTGGTTAAAGAAAATATTCATGAAATAGATTCTTAGGCCTGTGTCATATATATACAACAAACTGGTTTCTAAAGCATAAAAGTTATTTCCATTTATTATAGATTCTATCCATATCTTGGCATTCATATTTGACACGTCTGCCTCACCTTTCAAAACAAAACATAAATCAAGCCAGAAAACGATACCGATACCACAATATTACACGACTTTATCAAGATTAAACTGGAAAGACACCAGTTCTGGCATAGGTGACCTAAATATTGAAGAAAAGTTTGTGGTCTTTGGCTTGTTCTGTGCAATTTAACTCTGTAAGGTTGATAAATCAAATAAGTAATTTATGTGCTTTTTATCCTTTGTCTAAATATTTTAATGGATTAGTCTCCTTCCTCTTCTTGCATAACTGACCCGGAAAATATGTCTTTTATTCCAAATAAATGAATTTACCTTTTTCATCTTTTATACCACTTTTAAAATCATATTTTTTCATTTATTTCATTATTATTTTTTGAGGGGGGGGGGGATGTTTTTAAGTCTAAATTCATGGCAAACAATTCCAATAGCACCAAACCAATAAACCTGGATACACAATGGGGTTTACAAGCTAATTCCTACATGAGGTAAAGCAATCAACAATAACGGACATCTTTCTATTTGAGGTGGCAGCAGGCATATATATATATATATATATATATATATATATATATATATATATATATATATATATATATATATACTGGGTGGAAGAGAGTCATGATCAGCAGTGTGATATTCGGGGTGCTGGGGTGCTTCCAAATTTGACTTATGCCTATGAGGAGGTATTTATTGCACCCCATAAAATTCAACCAACAAAGCTATTGTTACACTGGGACTCAAATACAATCTCTTACAATGCTTATAGTAACAGCAAATAAGCTTTTTAATAATAAAAAAAAATTTAAAAAAAAACATTGCATTAACTAAAAAAAAATTGCCTTCACTTCAAATTCAAGTATGGCCTTGTAAAAGAAAGTTCTCAAGGTCGCATGCACCCATCTATCATCATTAAAAAAAAAGTCTGCATTTGTAAACAAATCCTTGACAAATTAATGTTTTTATCAGTGCATCTCAGACTTTATGACCAGTGATGTTCCTGTTTTTGCTCTTACTCATATGTTAAACACTCCTTATGATCTTAACCGAGTGTCCGGCTTTATTAAGAACTGTAATTGATATTTATATAGAAAAGGACAGGAAGGACATTTTGCTATACTGAGTAAGCAAAACAAGGTCACACTGATCTCCACCAGTGGTACAAGTCTTCTTCCTAGTTGTTGTCAGGAGAATCCGAGATAGAAAGTTTTTTTTGTCTCACAAAAAATTTAAACAGTAGGCTCTAAATGACTGGCGCCACTTTTCAACAAGGAAATTTGCGTCACATGTGTAAACTTCAATCTAAAGCACAGAAAAAAAGTCATTTCACACGATTTTGTTTGAGAAAAACAACAAAGAATCATTCTGTAAAAAGTTGTGCATATCATATATCATTTACTAAGACTTGGCTTAATATTTTAAATGCTTTGGCAAAAGGTAGTTCACTAATTAGCATAATAAATCATGGCAATATCGGTCTGTACTGTGTGGAGCTATCACTTGTCCAGCTGTACTATGGGGGTGCAATGTCTTTGTTATGTCAACACATAGTAGCAGTCTTAGTCAGACTGGGGAATGTCCAGTAGTGGTCAAATTCAGTGTCAGTGATCACTAGAGATTTACCATGTGTATAAACATTAGACTCATCAGACAAAAAATAAAACAAAAATGAAAACACACACACATATCTGCAGTAGTCCACTTAAAATTTAATTATTGATTGAATAGCTATAAAAGGTATCCATTCCATTTTATATCATATTACAGGTCCTTAATTCTCATAAAAGTGGTCCAATACCTCATTTAATTGTACCACTAGTCTACTGCCTTATCTCAGGTCAAAGGACTTGGGACTAAATTATTTGGTGTCAAGTTCTTAAGTGTGACCCGTCCTATTTGACAGGATCTTCATACAAGTTAAAATTGTCCTTGGATGTTACCTTTTAACATCACCCTTTAAGCCGCATACAATGCTTCCCATTAACAGAAGCCTATATGCAGTTTGTCTGTTGGGGTATTTGTAATAGGATTTAGTCGACTGGGTAATATGATATATTAACATGAAAGGCCTATTAACAATAGGCAAAGGATGTCATTGAAGAGAAGGGTCACCTGGACTTTCTAGAGGAATATTCAGGGTGTAGTCCAGATTATTTTCCTCTGCTTGGTAGTTATGCATGGAGAGCAGTCTTTAATACCATTTGCATAAGAGAGAGAGAGAGAGAGAGAGGAGGGAGGATGGTAGAGGAGACCTGTCAAACAAGCCCAGACCAGGAACAAAAACAGATTCCCTCACCCTGTTCATATCAGCAATAGTGGTAGACATTTGGTTTGAACATCAAATTCGCACCTCTTTAATAATTTACATTTTATCATCTCCAGAAATCGAAAATCTGTCACAGTTGGGCAAACAAGCAATGTCCAAAGTTCTTGATCGACAATGCCATCTACACTATATAAGTACAATCAGTGTCAACAAAACAAGTGACATTACGAAGCCAGTTGAACACTTAAACTTAAAGATAAGGCGCTTATTTATGAGTTCCGCCCTGTTTGTTTTCTGCCCTCAACCCTGGTGCAATTTACAATGAAATCTGGGTCATACTTCCCCTTTGCGGCTTTTGGGAAATTTATAAGGAAAGGGAGATTCACGACTTACAAGTTGCATTAAAATGTATGTTACACACAGATCACATTTAACTTACCAATACTTTTGTGAAACGCCGCTCGAGTTCCACGGGCTCTGGCATGGGGAGTCGTATTGGCATTGTTTGCGCACGTAAATCCGTGTGATGGTTCGGGCGAGCGGGTGTGCTTTCCCCGTTCCCCATCTTGAAAACCACTATTTCAGTCACTTTGAATCTTGGTTCGAGCCGACTCAGATGCAAGATAAGATCCTAAGACGCGCTCTCAGCTCTCGTGGCTTGTAAATTCCTTGGTTGATCTAAGTCCTGGGTTTTTAGGGTCGCCTGTTTTTCCTTGCCGCTTCATTAGGGCGTTTTTGTCTACATCATTTTAGCCTCACAATCGGAAACTCTTAGCAGTCGTTTTCTCTTCCCACTCAAGATTTGACCTAGAAGGTTGAGTCATAAGAAATCTCGCGAGATTTGCCGTGAATTCTTATCATAAGAAATGGTTATTTTGAACTCATTAAATTAAATATATTCTTATGCTTCAGTAAATATCTTGATTAAATTTTGTATTGAATATTAAAATGTTGATAAAATTACTATCTGTTTACGAATGAAATTGCATATTGACATTTTATCCCAAATGTCCACAATCTGCCGCATTCTTCACAAATGGAGTACAGAAAGCATACCAGGAAATAAATGTGCGTTGTCAACATGACTTATTTTTGGATCTAAATTTTTTTCCTGACCGAAATTGAAAGTGAAAAAGTGCCAAACAACGACAAGAAAATGCCTTTCTTGCAATTCTTATTTATGTTGACGTTAGTTGCAAATATGGGGGACACAGGTAAAGTGCTGATCTTTCCGTACGCACTTCAGAAAACCTCTCGGTTGATGAATCTAGAAAATATCGCTGTCATGATCGCGGATCAGGGAAAACATCAGGTCACTGTATTGCTTCCCTCTAACATGAAGTCAGAAGAGAAAGTTGGCGTGAACTACGTCTACTGGTCTTCACCGGATAATTTGACAGGTACCGCCACGAGTACATTTTTTTTTTTTTTTGGCTTTTTTAAATTTTAAATGAAAAAGAGGATATTTTTCATAGTATTACATGTACATCTACTTTATTGATTTTGCTTTTTCATCTAATTCATTTGATAACTCTGAGACTTGATCTTTCTGAGAATTTTTATGGATATTTATTAATTTTTTTATTTATTTAATTATTTATTTATACATTTAGGTGGTCTCTCATTTAGGAGGGAACATTCTCTATTTTTTTCTGTTTTGAACAGAGTAAGACAAAAGTTTACCTTAAGATATTAGACTGTTATTTCTGTGTTCACTTTCAGTGGATATGAGCTCTCTTGACAAAATTCAAGAAGTAGAGAAGTCGGTGAACTTGCTAAAGATTGCTGAAGACTATTGCACAGGACTTTTGCAGGGTGAACTTATTCATGAACTAAAGGTGCAACACTTTGATTTATTTATAACAGACTACATGGAACTCTGTGGCAGATTCCTAATTGATTATTTTCATATTCCAACTATCCTATACAGCAATAATGGTGTGGCTGCCTGCTGGGGAGAAGTTTATGCAAATAACTATGCATTTGTCCCCCATATGTTTTCCCACTTCACAGAAAAAATGAGTTTAACTGAGAGGCTGATCAATGCACTTTGGTATCTGAGTGTAAGTAGTAACTTTCTCAGTCGTGGCCAACAGCATTTACTGTCTCTGAAAGAGAAGTACAACTTGGATGTGCCAGTGGACCTGAAAAGGGCACATGAGAGAGCTTCAATAACATTTGCAAATACCCATTTTGCACTTGACTACCCTCAGCTGTTTATGCCGCACATAATCCCCATTGCAATTACAAGAAGAGCAAGACCACTTACAGAGCGACAAGAAAATTTTATGAATTCTTCAGGAAACCGAGGAGTTATTGTGGTGTCATTCGGATCTTTGGTATCTACAATGAATGAGGAAAGAGCTCAGACATTTGCATCAGCTTTTTCAAAACTTGAGCAAAATGTTCTGTGGCGCAACACAGGAGAGCAACTGCCAAATTTAAGTACAAATGTAGTGCAATCCGACTGGCTGCCTCAGAATGATCTACTCGGTCACCCACAGACAAAATTGTTCATCACTCATTGCGGGGCCTCGGGGAGCCTCGAGGCAGCATATCATGGAGTGCCAGTCATTGCCATGCCCCTCCACATGGATCAGTTTCACTACGCAGAACTACTGGTCAATCGGGCCAAAATGGGGGTCAAGTTGGATTTTCAGACGGTCACTGAGGAGCAGCTCCTTGAGGCTATTATGACAGTTATCGGTGATCCATTTTACACAAAAAATGCCCAAAGGATATCTCGGCTTATGAAAGATAGACCCATGGGTGTGAAAGACACGGTGAATTATTGGGTTGACTATGTTATTTCACACAACGGGCCTATGCACCTTCACTCCATGGCAGCATATAGTTTAACTCAGTGGCAGTACCTAATGCTAGATGTGATTGCGTTGGTAGCCGTTGTTGTGGTGATTGTGGTAGTTGGGACAGGTGGTGTTATAAAGTTGTGCTTTAAAAGGTGTAAAAGTTGCCTTCGTCAATGGAGGCTCATTTTTGAGCGATTTAAGACATGGCTCTCCAAGGGAGAAGACGGACTCAAATTGTCCCTTTTTGAGCGATTAAAGACATTCCTGATGCCAAGAAAAGATTCATTAGTTGTGTCCCCAGAGGAGGTAGAAATAAAGAAAGAAAATTAGTCTGAAAAGTGCAATGATGTAACGTTTAATACATTGGCCATATTTTTGTAATGCTTATCAGCTCTTACAATGCCTCGAAGAGGATAAGTAAGCATAAGCTCTATGGCAATCATTCTTATTTATGTTAAAAAAACTATGAGGAACGATGAATCACTTGAGTGAAAACATTGGGCAAATTGCAAGACCAAAATTTCCTTTTTATGAATCATTTGATGATTGCTCTTCGCTTTGTTTTATCATCTACTAATGCTTTTATATTTTTTTTATTATTTTATTTTATTTTTGCAACTGAAAGAAACTCATTTCAATCAAATGTTTATCATTAAGCATTTTATAGTTTACTTTATGCTTGTTCGTTGATTCCTTAAGGATTTACACGTTATCGATATAAATCATTTTATCTGTTATCGTTGTGTTATTCCTATGTCACTTCGTGGCAAATGCGTTGAATTCTTTGTTATCTAGCAAAAGTCTGAAATGCTGAATTTAAGGCGACTGCGAAAATGAGTCGAAATAGTAGAGAAAATTGCTGTGCTTACAGAAGAAATATTTAGGACCGACCATGGGCTCGACTCGCGTTTTGACATATCTGGGACACCTACAGCACTGACGGATTTAGGGGGGTGTCAGGGTGGTCCTGACCCCCCTTCTATATCTGAAAAAAATCACACCAATGGTCCCCTCTTCAAATTAAAATTTTGACTAGCTAAATCATAGTTTCAAACCGTATACCAAATGGCACCGTTCGCTCTTTGAAATACCAAAAAAATTTCCAACACCAAGGGAGGGGGGGGGGGGTCGGCTTCGCATCCGCGGACCCCCCCCCCCCCCCCAAAAAACCCCGGTCCCCCCCCCGACCAAACCCGGGGGNTTTACACGTTATCGATATAAATCATTTTATCTGTTATCGTTGTGTTATTCCTATGTCACTTCGTGGCAAATGCGTTGAATTCTTTGTTATCTAGCAAAAGTCTGAAATGCTGAATTTAAGGCGACTGCGAAAATGAGTCGAAATAGTAGAGAAAATTGCTGTGCTTACAGAAGAAATATTTAGGACCGACCATGGGCTCGACTCGCGTTTTGACATATCTGGGACACCTACAGCACTGACGGATTTAGGGGGGTGTCAGGGTGGTCCTGACCCCCCTTCTATATCTGAAAAAAATCACACCAATGGTCCCCTCTTCAAATTAAAATTTTGACTAGCTAAATCATAGTTTCAAACCGTATACCAAATGGCACCGTTCGCTCTTTGAAATACCAAAAAAATTTCCAACACCAAGGGGGGGGGGGGGGGGTCGGCTTCGCATCCGCGGACCCCCCCCCCCCCTACAAATAACCCTGGATCCGCCCCTGTACAGAATCGGTGAGATTCGGCCTTGTTCTATCCAAGTGACTTTGATATCTATTTGAAGCGTGTATTTATCGAACCCACCCTAATTGAGACGAGTTTAGTCATCAAATTCTACAGTATGCTTGTCTTAGATCGACAAAAGACACGTTAAGGCCAATTCCAGGTTTTGAACTCATCTCATGTTAACTCGTCTACTCTATCTCGTCCCGAGAGTCTTCAGATGTTTGACGACAAGTTGCCAAGTATGATTTTTATTTTTTGATGTGACTTTTTTAAACCAACGCCCAGACGAGCACATTTGCTGTCTTCAGTTGTTTGCTGACCACCATGATACGGACTTACTGATTAAACGTATTTAGTCGACTAGGCCCTTTCTGACACTGTCATCTCCATTTTTTCCCTCTTTTTCCGTCCCGCCATGACATAAATAGACTTGATGATTAAATCCAGACTGAACTGATAAATGCATTAATTTTAAGCAAAGGGATTTTAACAGAGATAATCATTTATATAAAAAGATATTTTAAAGAAATTATGCATTAATATATTTAGTCGACTTTGTGAGAGGCTCCTTTGCTTTCTCAGCACCAAATGATCGCGTGTCCGTCTGATATAGACTTTATGCTCAACATTTTAAGCGACGTCCCGTAATACACCTGCGCCGTCTCCAGTTGTTTGTTGGTCACAATGATGCAGATTTTTTGATGTGATATATAAACGTGATGTATAAGATTATATCCCATAGGAAAGGATTATCTTGTGAATCACAGTGAAATGAAATGGGCACAGGGTGAGTTGTCATTTTGAATACTTACGTTTCACCTTTGGCGGTTTTAAAATGTGTACCGTGAGACTGTTTCACGACGTAGATAAGATCTCACGTAGATTAAGTTTAATCTCTAAGAGTTACGATTTCATTAGTGTTATTTATTATGCAAAATTATTGCATTGCATTGCATTTTGATTTATATATTTAAACGAGAGTTTCCGTGGGAATTTCTTTTATTTTTGTATAAGTTGCTTTTGAGTTCGTCTCAAGGGCTTGCTTACTTTTTTGCAAAAAATAATTGTAATATGAAATTATTGACATTTTTTGACAGAGCAGGTATTGTTGGAGCTTATGTCTGTGGTGTGCAGTTAAACCCCCCCCCCCCACACACACACACACGCGCGTTTAATTTGGTTTTTAGATTAGAGAAAAGACATCAATAACTCTCAGTTTAACTGTTGTTTAAAAGAAACTATTACTATAACTTATAACAGCTGATAAAATTATTTGCCGGGCTCCTAATTTTACTGCTTTTGGGTGACTCCACTTTGTACATGATTTTTACTTTTTTTTATCAACAACGTACTTTACGTCTGTCAGCTACTGTAATCCTATATCTAGGAATTATACACTGATACAGTGTACAGAACTTTACTCTGGGAGAAGGGAGTACTAGGATGAAAAGGGGTGGATAGGGGAAGGAAAAGGAGAAAAAAATTAGCAGGACAGTAGCAAAGGAAGAAAATGTTCAGGCCTGTTGTGCCCCGTACTCCACTCCACCTCCCCCCCCCCCCATTCCCTCCCCACCCCACCCCCCCACCCCCGATCAACCAATAAATGACCCAATAACTATTTCAATAAAACAGACACATTTGCTGTCAGTTGCAGTTGCTCATATTTTTATTGAAGCCATTGAAATTTCAAACAGAAATGCGGTTTGTTCATGCGCCCTGATATCCTATAAATTACACGCAGGTTGGCGATGAATATTGGCTACTTCTTTTTAACCGTAGAAAGCTTTGCCGCCAATAAGGTTCACGTTGCACACCGTGGCGGGATAGTATTTTCCTACTTTAAGACCAGTGGTGGCAGAGCCCGGAGCACAAGGCTGAAGCAGGGCACGACCGTTGGTGCAAAAGACCAGAGTGTGTGCGTCCCCGGCGTAGACGCCGTCATACCCGCACTTGCCTAGAATTCAAAGTGCACGTGCTTATAGGTTGCATAGTTAGTTACTTTATTAATTCATTATGCACGGTATTGCAGTTTCATACAGAAGTGAAATATGAATCGTAAAAAGGGGTTACATTAATATTAAAAACAATCTCGTGATGCAAACTTCTTTTAAGAGTTCTATGCATAAGATACAAGATCGCTTGTTGAAACCTGGCAAGGATCTATTACACTAAAGACATTAGTGTTGTGTATTTGTATCGGTAGTCATGAGTTACTGAACAAAACGTGTCATGTGGACCTCGGTTTGCGTTGATTTCATGTTTGTTATGGTTGCATTATGTGGATTTAACGAGAGGGAGAGAGAGATTGCACGTGTGTGTGTGTGTGTGTTTTGAGAGAAAGAGAGAGAGAGCACGTGTTTTTGAGAGAGAGAGAGAGTGTGTGTGTGTGTGTGTGTGAGAGAGAGAGAAAGAGAGAGAGAGAGTGCACGTGTGTTTTTTTTTTTTTTTTTTTTTTTTTTTTTGACAGAGAGAGACTCACCAGCATAACTTCCGTGGTAGCGGAATTGTTGGCCATACAGTCCACCTAGGCCGCCGTATCCACCGTGACCGTAGCCACCGTAGCCGCCGAGACCATTAAGTCCATAGCCAAGACCAACCCCAGCTTTCCTAGAAAAAAGAAAATGTAGACATTTTAGACTTTTAAAGATGCGCTAAATTTTGGATAAACAACATAAATTGTATATAAATAAATATATTTGCATAAAATTTTTATAAATATGGATCTTTGAGGAAAAACTGCTATGGGCAATCCTAACCGGCTTTAGGTGAAAACGAACATAAAAAGGTTGATATTCTGGTTGAAGAAGCATATTCTTTTTATGACACAAATAAGGAAAGTATTAAATGGAAAAGTCAAAATACAGGACTTACCCCACACCGCCGACAAGACCAACCCCAGCTTTTCTATAGAGAAAAAAGACAAAAGTGACACATAAGGTTCAGATTAATTTTCAATGGATGCAGATACTGTATAAGAATCGATATCCAAAGGTTAACATCATTATTAAAGAAGCATCTTTTTCTGATCTCAAATTATATAAAAAATAAAGGAAAACGTGATATGGGTTGTTATAAAGTAGACTTACCCCACTCCGCCAACAAGGCCCACTCCGGCTTTTCTATAGAAAATAAAACGGGGTCATTTAAGGTCAGATTATTTTTTTTACTGGATACACATATACAAGTCAGTATCAGAAGGTCAATATTCTAATTAAAGAAGCATTTTTTTATCATTACAAATAAGGCAAGAAATAAAGGAAAATGAAACAAATAGGTGGTTATAAAGTAGACTTACCCTACACCGCCGACAAGACCAACCCCAGCTTTTCTAGAGAAACAAAAATGAAAGAGTGACACTTGAGGCTAAGATTAGTTAGATACACATGTTGTATAAGGATTGGCTAAATGACATTTTCATTGGATAATATGCAGGGAAAAAACAATAAAAAGGTTAATATTCTAATTCGAGCAGCATTTTAACTCAACACATAAAAGTTAAGAAATAAATGAAAACGTAAAGAAGGAGTTATAATATGGACTTACCCCACACCACCGACAAGGCCAGCTCCAGCTTTGCTATAAAGAAAAGAGAGAAAGCTGTGGCATTTGATGTTAAGATTCATTTTCATTGGACACACAACCGACAACCAGTACCAAGAAACTGATATTACAAAAAAAAAAAGAACAGGAAATAAAGAATTAAAAAGGGGAAATGCTATTATAATATGGACTTACCCCACAGGACCGACAATGGTAGCCCCAACTTTTCTGTAGAAAAAAAGAGATCCATTTTTGTAAGTATACACTTGCATGAACAAACCTTAGAATTTGCAAAAACGCTGTAATGTTATGTATTTATCTGAGAAAAAATTATAGGTAGTTCTAATCATACCAGTGCAAATATAGATAATAAAGAGGTGGATGTTTCAATTTAATTGGCATGGACTTTTGAGCACAAATAATGAAAGAAATGAAAGTTTGAAAATGTTATTATAAGAGGAACTTACCCTACACCGCCAACAAGGCCAGCACCAACTTTACTATAAAGAAAAAAGGAAACAGTGACATTAAGACAATGTTAAGATGTAATTACTTTTGGATAGATTATACGTTAAATGTCAAAGACGGTAAACTGTTACTTTTGAAAATTAACATGTAAAAACATAAATCTGCCATCTGATTGAACGACACTAAGAAGTCGTTACAGACAGTTTATAGTATATTTTTTCTTGGAACAGGAAAAGAAATAAATTAATAAAAGTTAGAAAATGCATTATTAACATGATCTTACCCAACGCCGCCATAGCCAACTGCACCCACACTAGAGAGGAAAAGATTTTAGTTCAAAAAGTATTTCATTTTAAACACATATAGTTAAGGCAAGAAATGAAATTACATAAACGTTACAATGTCATGGAATTATCTGAAAAAGTTCCAATCGCACCAGAGTGAAAAAATTAAAGCTTTATATTCTAATAAAATTTATCTTAATACATATCAGGAAGGAAAGAATTGAACAGATGTTGTTATGACTGTGTCTTACCCAACAGGGGCGACAAGGCCAGCTCCAGCTTTTCTATAAAAAATAAGATAATGACGACATTTTAGGTCGAGATTGCATTTCATTTGGATACACACGCTTAAAGACCTATGAATATGTAAAACGTTGTAATGCACACGTGAAAGGCATGTTAAAGGAAAATTTAGATGGAATTAAGAACAGGATTATATATTTAAATTCAGTAATCATTTTATTTTAAACCTAAGCAAGACAAAAATATAACATAAAAACGCTGTAATGACATGGACTTACCCTACAACGCCGCCATAACCAACTCCGCCATATCCTACTCCAGCTTTTCTAGAGGGGAAAGAAAGAAAAATGTCGACAATAAAGGCGAAGAAGCATTTTAGTACCAGATAGACACAATTAAAACATCAATATGCTTGTACACTTAAACTTTATGGGATTAATTTGGAAAAGCTGATATAGGTAGTTTCAATCATACTAGCTTGACAAAAAACAATAAAATGTTTTTTTCTAATCGAAACATTTTCTTTTGAATACGAATAACAAAAGAAAGAAAAGTAAGTGAAAATGCTCTTATAAGATGGACTTACCCCACACCGCCAACAAGGCCAGCTCCAGCTTTGCTATAATAAAGAAAAAAGAAAATTGTAGAATTAAGACGGTGTCAAGATGCAATTACTTTTGGATAGACGAATCTGCAAAAACGTTGTTATGTTATGTAATGATCCCCATAAAGCGTTATAGGCGGTTCCAAGTTCACTACAGTGAGTAGAATCAATAAAAAAGCTGTTATTCTCAACCAAGAAACATTTTCTTTGGGAAACAAGTAAGAAAGATATCATATATATTAATTGCAAAACACAAGCTGAGACTTTATTTTTAGTATTTTCATACCGTTAGCTCTCAGATTGTGCTTAATTATTATCACATATAATTCAACTACCGAGCTAATGAACATTTTTGCAAAAGAAAGATGTCATTTGAAGTTTGAAAAGCGCTGACGTAACATGGACTTACCCAACAGCGCCGCCATAACCAACTGCACCCACGCTAGAGAGGAAAGATATAAGGTTTAAGATGTATTTTATTCTAAACATGAAGAGAGATAAGAATCAAATGAAATTGCAAAAACGTTGTAATATCGTGGACTTTTCTGATAAAATCGTTACGGTCAGTTCGAATCATATCCGAGTTTAAAGAAAAGAATATTCTAACTCACAAGATGTATTTTCATCTGAACAAAAATCAGGAAGGAAATAAATTAAAATACGGAGTTATAACATGGTCTTACCCTACAGGGCCGACAAGACCAGCTCCAGCTTTTCTACAGAAAAATAAAAAATGGCAAAGCTAATGTTTATGAGTAAGCAATGCAATGTCATTGACTTATCCACAAGAAGATATTTTAAGAAATCTCAATCGCGTTAGAAAAGGAAAAATATAAATATATATTCTTATTCGGGAAGATTTTTTGTCAAATACCAATGAAGCATTTAAAAATCTTTTAAAATAAGAGAACGTTATTATAACATGGACTTACCCTACAACGCCGCCATAACCAACTCCGCCATATCCAACTCCGGCTTTTCTACAAGGGAAAAAATAAAACGTCTACATTGAAGACACTAATACATTTTCATATATAAAGACGCGTACAATACAATACAATGAACATGCAAAAACGCTGTTATTTCATGAAATAAACTGAAAATGCCGCTATAGGTAGTTCAAATCACACTTGTATAAAAAAAAAGGGAAAAATGATAAAAAGGGTTCACGTTACTATCTACGCATTTCATTTTGAACGTAAAAAAAGTGTAAAAACGCTGTTATGAGATGAACTTACCCTACAGGAGCGACAACGCCAGCACCAGCTTTACTATAAATAAAAAAGAAAAAAGGTTAAGTTATGGTGGCGTTTAGATGCAATGTCTTTTGGATAGATAACAAGTGAAAAAACATAACTATGGAAAAAGATGAAATGTTATGAAAAGCCGTTTAAGGATGTTTCTACTGTACTTTCAGTGGAACGCAAGGAAGAAAGAAATCAGTTAAATTTTAAAAAAGTCTGTAGTAATATGTACTCACCCTGCAATGCCGCCATAGCCTCCTACACCAACGCTAGAGGAGAAAAAAAGTAAAAACATGTTGGTTTGAGAGGATTTATTTTAAACATCTTAATTGAAGAAGTAAATGAAAACTAATTATCGTTACTGGCAGTTTCAATCGCACCAAAGTGAGAAGAAATAAATTGTTTATATACTAAATCAAGAACCATTTTCATCTGAACATAAATCAGGAAGAAAATAATTAGTTTTTTTTTGTTATAACATGGTCTTCCCCTACAGGGGCGACAAGGCCAGCTCCAGCTTTTCTACAGAAAAAAAAAAGAAAATGGCGACATTTTTTAGGTAAAGACAAAATTTCATTTGGATACACAAGTGTAAAAAGGAATGATTGCAAGAAAGCTCTAGTACCGTGGTCTTAAAAAAAAACATGTCATAAGAAGTTTGACAGCGTTAAAGCAAAAGAAACTATTTTAAAGGCTTATATTCTAATTCAGATGCATTTCATTTCAATCACAATTAAGGCGAAAGGAATTAATTAAAATGCAAAGTCGATATTATTACACGGACTTACCCAATACCGCCGGCAAGTCCAACCCCAGCTTTTCTGGAGAAAAAAAGAAAGAAAAAACGTCGTAATCGAAGGTAATTAAAAATTTTCATATATGTATACACACCTATAAAATTAAATATACTAAAACACTGCTATTTTATGGACTTATCTGCAAAGCCGTTGTAGGCAGTTCCAATCATACAATAGTGAAAGTAAATGAGCATAATGATAATGAGGGTCATATTTCAATTGATAAGCATTTCTTTTGAGCACAAATGTTATAATCTATTCAAGGTTAACAAATATCAGGAAGGAAATAAATTAAAATACGGAGTTATAACATGGACTTACCCTACAGGGCCGACAAGACCAGCTCCAGCTTTCCTACATAAAAAAGAAAAATGCTGCCATTATAGGTCATGATACAATTACATTTAGATACACTCTTAATTCAGTAAGCATTTCCAAAAAAAAAAAATCAGTAAGCATTTTCAAAAAAAAAAAAAAAAAAAACTTAATTAAAATGTGAAAACGCAGTAATAATATGTACTTACCCTACAACGCCGCCATAACCAACTCCAGCTTTTCTGTAAGAAAAAAGAAGAAAAATCGTTGATATCGAAGGTAATGTATTTATGTATACACAAGCGTTTAAATGAATATGCTTATGTTATGGCCGTATACTTTAAAGTTATAGCCGTATCCGGAAAACTGTTACAAGGAGCTTCGATCACACTAGAGTGAGAAGCAAAGGTAATGAAAACGTTGGTGTTTCAGTCTGATAAGCATTTCTTTTTAAACACAAATAATAAGAAGGACTTACCCTACACCACCGACAAGGCCAGCTCCAGCTTTACTATAAAGAAAAAAAGAAAACTGCGACATAAAAGTTGACGCAAAGACGTTATTTTTAGACCTATTACACGTAAAAACTGATGCAAGTAAGAAAACTGTTCAACGTTTTGAATTGTAGTTGTAGACAGATCACATAACACTGAATTATATGCAAATATTGATATTCTACACCAAGAGTATTTAGAACACAGGTAATAAAGGTTTCAATAAAAGTTTGAAAAACGCTGTAGTAACATGGACTTACCCTACAACGCCGCCGTAACCTCCCACACCCACGCTAGAGGGGGGAAAAAAGGAGATATTTCATGTCTAATAGATGCATTTTATATTAAACATTCTTGAATAAAGAAGGAAATTAAAAATTAAAAAAATGCAACCTTTTTCTATTAATCTAACTGGTGTGAAAATAAATGGGAATTTGGTTTTGTAATTCATGATCTGAACCATTTTCTTTTAAAAACAAACTAGAAAATAAATAAAAAACACGTTGGTATAACATGGTCTTACCCTACAGGGGCTACAAGGCCAGCTCCAGCTTTTCTACAGAAAAAAAGAAAGTGGTTTTATTTTAGGTCGTGATGGAATTTCATCTGGATACACACGCGTAAAATCATATGCAAAAGAAGAGTAATACAAAACCATATTAGCAAAAATCTTTTAAGAAGCTTTAATCAAGTTAAAGCAAAAGAAGATAAGAAAAACCGTTCATATTTTAATTCAACAGCGATTTAATATCAAATCAAATAAGGCAAAAAGAAATTACTTAAAATGTGAAAACGCTGTAATAACATGTACTTACCCTGCAACGCCGCCATAACCAACGCCGCCATAACCAACTCCAGCTTTTCTAGAGGGGAAAGAAAGAAAAACGTCAACATTGAAGGTATTGATGCATTTCCTATGTATAGACACGCGTAAAAGCGAATACGCTAAAAATTGTTATCCGAAAGAACTGTTATAGGCAGTTCCAATCCTATTAAAGTGAAAACAAATAATAGTAATTATAATAAAGGTTCATGTTTCAATTTGATAAGGTTTTGAACACAAATCAGGAAATAGATAAATTAACTAAAACACCGTTATAAGTTGGTCTTACCCTACGGGGGCGACGACGCCAGCTTTTCTACAGAAAAAAAAAAAGAAAAAGACGACATTTTAGGTTGATGATGACGCATATAGACGTATAGATGTGTGAAAAACCAAATAATAGGCTAAAACATTAATATGTCGTGGGGATTTGAAGCGGTTATGGACGGTTTCAGATTCACTAATGGAAAAAGGAAATAAAAGAATCTATCAATCTAGCGTAAAAAGCGTTTTCTTTTGGAAATAAATAGAAAAAAGTGGAAGGGGCGACATATCCAGCTCCGACTTTTCTGAAGACAAAAGGAAAACAATTTAAGTTATGGTGCATTTTCCTTTGGGTATACAATATAAAAATCAATATACGATAGTATGTAAAGAACCTTTTCTTTAAACATATAAAGAATAGGCAGCTACAACCGCAATAAATGACGAAGAAATGAAAACCGTTGTCACATGTATCTTCATTCAAGAAGCATTTCTTATCTGAATTTGAATAAAGATAAAGATGAAACTGTGAAAACGCTTTTATTACAAGAACTTACCCTACACCACCGACAAGGCCTACTCCACCAGCTTTTCTATTGAAACAAAAAGAAAACGGAAACATTTTAGGTTGAGATGCAATTTTAGGATACATTTGTAAAATACACATAAAAATAACTAAATATGCGACAGCGCTGTACTGTAATGGACTGATAAAAGCCCTTAAATGCTGGTATTAATCAATAAAATTTATTACTTGTGACTTCAGAAACGTTTTCTTTTAACTTAAAGAAGGAAATGTAAAAATCAAAGTTAAAAAGTACTGTTAAAGCGTAGACTTACCCAACAACGCCGCCGTAACCAACGCCAGCTTTTCTAGAAAAGAAATGGAAACGTTTATCTTTATTGGGGCGAAAATAAAGAAAAAAAATGTCAATATTCCATTTCAATAAACATTTTCTTTTCAACATAAGTGAGGACTAAAACATGACATATGAAAAAAACGTTATCATTACATGGACTTACCCTACAGCGCCGCCATAACCAACTCCGCCATATCCAACTCCAGCTTTTCTACAGGGAAAATGGAAACGGCGAAATTGAGGTTAAGATGCACTTTTATTGGAACGAGGAGCAATAGAAAGATAGATATTCCAACAAGATACACTTTTTCATTAGCACATAAGGAGAGAAAACAAAAATGCAAAAGAGAAAAATACTGTAGGCTTTATATTAACTTACACGTCAACGTTATTATAACATGGACTTACCCTACAACGCCGCCATAACCAACTCCGCCATATCCAACTCCAGCTTTTCTACAGGGAAAAATGGAAACGGTGGAATTTAAGTTAAGATGCACTTTTATTGGAACGAGGAGAAATAAAAGATAAATATTCCAATAAGAGAAAAATTTTCCTTTGAACATAAAGAGAGAAAACAAACATGAACTTACCCTACAACGCCGCCGTATCCAACTCCAGCTTTTCTAAAAAATGGAAACGGTGACATTTTAGGTTATGTTTTATTTAACAAACAAAAAGAAAGCAAGTACATAAATATTATTAATAAACGAAACGCAAAATCTCTGTTATAACACATACTTACCCAACACCACCGACAAGGCCAACCCCAGCTTTTCTAGAGAAAAAAGAAAACAGTAACATTTGAGGGCCATATTCATTTTTTATATAAAAGTCGGCATCAGAAAAATTAATATTCAAAAGATTAAAGACGCATTTTCCTCTGAACACGAATAAGGTAAAAAAAAATAAAGGGAAATGTGAAAAAAGTCTTTATAACGTAGACTTACCCTACACCGCCGACGAGGCCAACTCCAGCTTTTCTAGACGAAAAAAGAAAAAGGAAACATTGGAGGTTAAGGTGCAATGTTTTGTATAAAATACAGTTTGAAAGATAGATAAATATGCGCAAACGCTGTACTGATTTTAACTGATCCGTACTGATCCGTTGCAATGAACAAGTTTTTATGACCCTCCAAGAAACGGTTTCTTTTGGATACTTTATGAAGTAAGAAGTTATAAAAAGATTGAAAAACGCAGTTGTTACTTGGACTTACCCTACAACGCCGCCATAGCCTCCTACACCCAAACTGGAAGGAGAAATAAGGACAGCATTTCAGTTTAAAATTGCTTTTTTTCACTAACTTACGTAAGTTAGTAAACAAATGAAAATGCAAAAATATATTAATAACGTGAAAACCGTGAAATATCGAATCACCAACACTACGCTCAAAATGAATACAAATTAAAGACATCTTATTGATTGTACATGAGTCAATGAATTAATGAAATACTAAAACGGTTGAATAAAATGGACTTAGTAAAGTCAAGAGTCAAGTTCTTTTATATATAATGAAAAAAATGTAAAAAGCAATAGCTGATTCAGATGAACATACCCGTAACCGCCAGCCTTACCCACACTAGAGAAAGAAAAGAAAAAAGACGATAATTTATGACTCAGTTTCATTTGAATAAAAAAAAATCACTTCCTCAAAGGCAATCTCTTGATTATAATAAAATCAAATTAAGGAGATCTTTAGATATATTAGTAGAAATTTCAATCATTTCTTTCTCTTTTGAACATATGTCTGTCCTTACAGAACCATCAAAAGTTGTAATGGACCTTAAAAGAAATCTTGTACACAACCCACCCACCCCCCCCCCCTTTCCCACCACCACCACCACAGAGAGAGAGAGAGAGAGAGAGAGAGACGACAAAAACCTTTTTGGGTTTTGCCGTACTAAACAAAGAGGCAGAAGATCCTAAAAACGGTTATGTTCAAAGACTCACCCGACGACACCTTTATATACAGGATAAACATATGTTCCACACACGCTGGAAACTGCCACCAGGGCCAAGAAAAGAGCAATTGCAACCTTCATTATACTAAGTGTGTTGGACGGCTAACAGCAGCAGAAAAGAAACCGCTTTGACGTGTTAACTCTGTGAGCCTGCCCTTTATATACTCCACAGTCACCGGCGTTATTTTTAAATTCTCACAGGTCCCCACTTTTGGCCATCATGCGTTTTTCTTGCTGTGGCTGACACCGTCTGCCTCCATTAATCAGAAGTCGTCTGAGATTAATGCCTTCCGAGATATTTACTGTGAAATGAAATAAAATGACGGAAAAGGGTCATCTTGGGATCAGACAGATATGCCTTTTTTATCAATTAATGAAACGAGGATGAGGGTGGGGGTTAAATATGTTTTCTCTCTTTTTTTACTTTCTCTCTCTCCTATCGTATCCTTCTCATGGAGACTATCTGGCAGTTAATATGAAGAATTACCAAGACGAGGCGCGGTGTGTATTTGCTGGTTAATATCCTTTACTGTGGGAAGAAAATGAGCCCGGGCAAATTATTCAAGCCGTTATGACCCAAGAGATAGAAGATGATCTGCGCAAAATGCATTGAGGCTTTTGATGATGTCCGAGTAGAGGGGGAAAAAAAAAGAAAGAAAATGAGGGATGACATATGGATTTAAAAATAACAAAAACGACTGGAGAATGGTTACAGGGGGTAACTCTAGGGTTCATTCCCAATGAAACTATCGTTCTTCGTCGATCGATTCAACTCCGCGGGGACTTTCGCTGAATGCAGTCAGATTATCAGATTAGTACGCCTCCTCCTAGTGCTGAGTAGAATACAGCAAAATGGTGTTTATACGACTAAGTTGGAAACAGGAGGAGGCGTGTTTATCTGTTAATTTGGTTTCATTTAGCAATAGGGGGAGGGGCAAGGCAAGTCTCCCCTTATTAGTTTTAGAGGCATCCCCTTCTCCCCCCCCTCCCCCCCCCAAAAAAAAAACAGTATAACAAACGAAACAATACACAACCATATTTCTTTCCTTGTTATGTACCTTACACATTATAATAAAACTGTCTTCGTCTATTACTTCATTATATAGTTTGATATCATAGAATTCCTTCCCCCCCCCCCCCCAGCGCGCTTTTGCAAAGTGGTTAATTATGGTTGGGCAAATCGTTCCAATGACGAATGATCGACAACGCACTGTCACCCATTATCTTGACAAAAGTCAGTTTTGTCACAGTGCCAGAATTCAGCGTCATGCACAACGCTGCAGTGACGTGACATAAACAAAGCCATGTACCGAAAACATGAAAGCGTAAATGTGGTTGCTTCGTCACCGACATATTTAATAAATTGTGTCCAAAATATTAAAAGTGAAAACTTCTTTCACTGAAATAACCTTATTAGTGCTCCATAATTGCGATGTTCATTTCGTGTTCATGACGGAATGCTTTTGTGAGTTATAGAAGTGAAATCCGTTACGTTCTCGGCATAATAAATGGGTTTCGCGTCCAGATTTAACTGGGAATTTATACATGTCACGCTGATATTAGATTTCACAGTCACGTCGCATGACGGGACTCTTGTTATCGTTATTATTATATACATTATTGTTGTTGTTATCAGTGCGCTTACTTGCGTTTTTTCTCATAATTCCCATTTTATGTTTTATTTGCCAAGGGGTGCGCTCTCTTTATGTCTTCTAAGTTGCCTCAATCAAAACGGTAACAGAGGATAAAAACTTTTCCAATTTAAAAATACATTCCTTCTGAATGATGGAGTATAGAGATAATACAAGAGATATAGCAATTTTTATCAATCTCACTGCGACAGTTTTTACATTAAACACATTTTGATATATATGGCTGGAGCAATGACTGCCCAACAATTTCCGAGTCATGGAAGCGAAAAGAAAAAAAAATTAATCTATTGACTTAATTAATAGGTGGCTAAAGATGCACGCCCGGTCTAACAAGCTGGACGGAATGACAAGGCACATGTGCTTTTATGATCCTGACATTGGCCAGTGCAGTCGCAATCCAATATCGTCAGGCAACTATGAATGATTATGTTATAAGTTTAAACTTTTCATTTTCTACACTAAATAATTACTGAGACGTACATGTAAGTGCATAGTGCTCAGTCTCATAGCAACAGACACTGAAGAAGGTCACGGAATGGCTGAAATCTCTGTAAGGTACAGCTTTAATCTCAGCTTTCATTTTGTGTGGAAAAGGAAAGGTTTAATCTTTTAACAAAATGATTGACAAACTATACACATGAATTTCCATCAGGATGGTTTGCAAAATCAACGGAACATCCTTCCATAAATTTATAATATTATTTGAAAATGAAATCTGAGGCTGTAATGTTTGACACTAAGAAGTAAATCTATTATCTGAATGATACATGGATATTAGGTGCATGGTAATATGGAAACGGTCAAATTATCACGTATCACCGACCAAACTCGTGTGTCCTCTTGTTAGGTTATTAAGAGTTATTAAGAGTGCCAGGTGTTCATATCAATATATCAAGATACCGCGAATAGAAAATAGATTTTTAGAAAATAGATTTTTCATGTGAACGGAGTCTAAGTCGAGAAATCATTAAAAAATGTATGGAAAAGACGATTTTGTGTTTTTTAGACGATGATGACGCTGAATGAAATATTAGAAATATTCTTGAAAGGAAATCCCTGAAGAAGGCCTAGGGGCCGAAAGCTTGAATTGCATAATACATCTTTTTAGTAGATCTTCATAGACGCATCAGTGTTATAACTTGTATACTGTACTTGTAATGAATATATGCATGTACTAAGGATCTTTTTTAATTCGGATAGGGATACGACAGAAGGTGATTCATTTGCTCTACTTTGATGTATTGTAGAAGTAAAGTTTTAATATTTTAGAGACAGCCTTTAACCGCGTTTAGGAAGGTATGGACATAGAACTTTGCAAACGTTTCAGTTTCAAAATAAAGACGCTTGGCTTACCATGAGATGAGGGGTCAGCAGAATAACAGCTGTGCTTATTTTTAAGGGATGAGGAGCGAACAGTAGCGTTAGCTTGTTCACGTGCATGTTTGCTGTGTGCCCGCGGATATCTGAACATAACTGACAACAGGTGTCACTAGGGGCGCCATTTATAATTCTAGGCGCGCAATGAGTAAAATGTGTGTGTGTGTGTGTGCGTGCGTGAGTGCGTGCGTCTGCGTGTGTGTATGTATGTGTGTTTGTGCAAACACGTGTGTAAGTAGAAAGGAAGAGAAAGTGTGTGACAAACGTTTTTGAAAAACGGAGGGGGGGGGGGTAACCATTCAGAAAAATATCGATTAGATATGAATATGAATTACCCTTTGCCCCTCACCTCCTCTCTCTCTCTCCCCCCTCCCCCCGCGTTCAGCGCTTATGGCCGACGCGACTGAAAAAAAGCCATTGTGTTTGTGGAGGGGGGGGGGAGGGAAAGGGGGTTCTAACCCCCTATCCTCCTGGTCCTTCACCTACAGTTTTGCACTGTTTATGTGAATATCTTAATTATTTGTGAAATTTGTAATATACTATCGTTTGTTCATATTCATCCATCTTTTATTTTTTACAATTTACCATTTTCAAATAATTTTTAGCGTAATTTATGCTTTGTTGATACCTGGAAATTTCGTAACATATTGTAATGCCCCAGCCTGTGTATACTTCAGCCTTTCACCGGAGTTTAACAAACGCTGATCAAGGCAGAAATAAATGGTCTTCAAGGTTGCAGTTTTGCTTCACTAGCAACAATCTCTCCGATGAACACTTTTTTTACTGTGAATCTTTTCTTCAGGTGTTTACGGACGACCTGGTCAGAATTGCCAAGAACATTTTGCTGGATTCCGGAAGACTGCAGGGACAGAGTTGTCAACGTGGCATCCGGCAAAAATGTGGAACTCCAATGTCTGTCGTCTTATTAACAATAGTCTATCACTTATAGAGTAGAATAGAATAACAATGGGAGTCTCTCCTTAACAATACAAAGAATGCGGATAAAATGCGTAGAGTTTTGAACTTTGCAGGAAAACGAAAAGATGTAGTGAATTTAACCTAATAGTTATAATAAATTAAACAAGTAAAGAAAGCAACCCAGTGTGGCAGAAATGATTGGCACAAAATGGAAGGCCGGGATCCCATATGATTAGTACAGGTTAGGCAGTGGCGGATTTAGAGGGGTGGGGGTCAGGGAGGGGGTCCTGACACCCACTTCGATTTCTGGTCCTCTCTTAAAATTAGAATTTTGACTAACTAAATCATAGTTCTATACCGTACCAAATGGCATTGTCGCCCCCTAAAATACCAAAATCTTTCGGGGCCCTTCAGCGGGCCCCGAACCCCACGCCAGTTGGGGGGAGGGGGGGGGGGTGAATCAGCTTCCGCGGACCCCCCACCTTCAAATAATCCTGATGTTAGGGCTAGTTAGTAGTCAAAATGCAATAATAATGGCTTAATTAAAACACATTCACAGTCAGTCAGATTATTATTGTTATTATTATTTGCATTTTAAAAAAGTGTATTTTTAAGTACAACCATTTTTCCTTTTTACGACGACTTTTTTGTTCATGGCGTAACGTCATGACGCATATACGTCACAGCTACAATGACGTCATTCCCCAAGGTTGCATTATTCACTTCACTTCAAGCAAAACTTCTTTTTCACCGAAGTTATTTTCATCCACAAAAGATGGCTAGTGGAGGCAGGGATGTGGGTTGGAACGTAGTGAATGATGAAACGTTGGATTTGAGAGTCCACGGTGAAAACTGGACACCAGAACCTAGAGCAAGGCAGGTGGCATTATGGATAGACGCAGAAGGTGGAAATCCCACCCCTCCTCCTAGGCCGTTGACACCTATGGTCTTTTGCACAATGGACTACGAGACAGTCCCGAGCCGCATTTTACGTAGGTTTGCCGCGTCAGATAGAACGTGGGATCCTGTGGAATTATCAATATTGCTTGAAGAAAAGCTCAAGCGCGCGGAAGCCATGAAAGCCGAGTTACTCAGAGCACGGACACCATCCACCGGTGCTAGACTGGAAAAGGTAAGGGCTAAGCTGGAGATTAAGCCATCGTTTTTATGCCGTGTTTTTATGTACAGACACAGATGTGTCTGTACATATTGCCATCACCTGCGTCTGTCGGCGCCGTCGCCGTCGCCGTCGTCGCCGTCGGCGCCGTGCACTTTCCTTGTAAACACGATAAGTGGAGGGCAGTTTTACTTTTTGGCTTTATATTTACAGAGCTGATGAATATTCATAAAACGCAGGTCAAGTTCGAAAATCAGCATGATCGGGCCATTATTTTAGAAGTTATGCTGTCTTTTCACTTTTCAGCATATATGCAACACTGTAAACACATTTAAAGGAAAACCGATAGGCCTGTTGTCATGAAACTTACAGGAGTACTCAATCTTACTAAAATGCAGGTCAAGTTCGAAAATCGGCATGAGCGGGCTACTATTTTAGTACTTATGCTGTTTTTTCATTTTTCAGCATATATGCAACACTGTAAACACAATATAAGAAAAACAGATAGACCAATTGTCATTAAACTCACAGGAGTGGTCAATCTTACTAAAACGCAGGTTGATTATAGTTGATTATATAACAATGGCAGTAAACTGTTAATTTTGTTTTATGTTAAAAATTGTTAAAAATGGGAAAACACCCATTTCAGAACAGTGCTGTCTTGTTTACATTTTGGCATTTTCAAGGTGTGACTCTGAAGTTCCATGGGCCTGAAGACCTTTGCTAGTCACATTTTCTGAATGTCCATGATACTAATATTTTATTATTAAAAATTGATGGTCATTATGCTGTTAAACATTATGTAATATTGCCTCAAAATTTGAAGAACCCCCTATTTGGGGCACTGCTTCCATGATGACCATTTAAGAAAACCATGTCACTTACTGTTCTCAAACTTACAGGAAAGAAACACAGGACTAATATACAGCTTCAGTAAGCAATGCAGTCTTTTTGGTAAATTTTTCTGGCAATTAAACAGTTTTTTTGTGAAAATTTAACTTTTCACATATTGGCATTTTCAAGGTGTGACTTAGAACTTCCACGGGCTTGAAGACCCATGCTAGTCACATTTTCTGACAATCCATTATACACATATTTTATTATTAAAAGTTGATGTTCATTATGCTGTTAAGCATTATGTAATATTGCATTAAAATAGAAGAAAACACAATTTTGGGTGCTGCTGCCCTGATGACCATTATGGGAAAACCATGTTACTTATGATTGTCAAACTTTCAAAAAAGAAACACAGGACTAAAATGCAGCCTGAGTTGGAAAAGCAGTCTAATTGACTTCTTTTTCTGGAAGTTATACATTTTAGTGAAATATTCATTTTTATCGTGTGGCATATTCATTGTGGGACTCAGAGCTCCCATGGACATGAAGCTAAATGGTAATCAAATTTTCTACATGTCCATGCTATTTATAGTCAATAATCAAAAATTGGTGATAATTATTCTGTAATGTATTACGTAATGTCACATCAAAATGGACAGAAATCTTTTTGCACTGCTACTACAAACATTATGAAAAGAAAACTGTGTTACTTATTATTTTTAACTTACAAGTATGATTTTTAAGATTGGCATGCAGTTTAAATTAGAAAGCCAGCTCAATTGGGTTATCATTTATTATTGAATTTATGCAATTTTGTGTGAAATTTTCATTTTTCTCATTCTGGCATTTTCAAAGTGTGAACTTGAACTCCCATGGGCCTGAAGCCTTATGCTTGTTACACATTTTACTTACATTGGTATTACCTGTTGAGCATAATTAAAATTTGATGCTGAATTTGTAGTTAAGCATAATGTTTTTTTACATCAGAATGACAGTAGCCTATTTCTTGTATTGTTATTTCCTGCTTTTTGTCTGTACATTTGACAGCTTTGCTGCCTTGTTTAACCTTTTAGTTAATCTATATTTCTAATTTCGGGTTACTTGCTTGCTTGTTAAAATTCGTCATATATACGATTTTTCAACTTTTAAAGCATCTCACAGATTCAGTAAACTCACCTGTTAGTTATGTCATTGTATTTTATCAGGCGGTAGCAGCTGAAAATATGTGTTTACTTTTACATTTCAAGGTCTCACAAAACAAACTCGAAAGGGAACTTACAGACATAGAAAGGACAAAGAAAATAGTAGATGAAAGGCTGTCCAAGATAATGGGAGCAGAAGAAATCTCCCTGGATGAGGAACAGATAGAAGTCAAAAGAGAGATGGCCCCGAAAGCAAAGGAAGAGACACAAAAAGTGAGATATCAATTGTTTCGCCGAAGTAAATTTTACATGGGCTTATGGAAATGAATTATTAACTTTTAAGTTCTATAAGAATGAAACTTTGTTATGGTGGTTGGGCTTTTTATTTATAAAGATTTTATAATGTACAAGTTAAGGTTGTCTTTTAATGCCCCCTGTGACTGTTTTAAGAAGAATTAAAATGTTCCTATTTGAATAACATTTCGGTTAACTTTTACTTTTACTTTTGATTACTTTTATGTAAGTTTTTAATCTATATTTGTAGTTTTAGTATCTATATGTATATGTGAACGTAAACAACACTGAAAATTGTATTATTATTATTATTATTATTATTATTCCAAGAGATACCGATCAAGAATGTAACGTACCAGCAACATTTCGAAATAAATGAGTAACACTATGACACTGCTCTGAATCAAAGTTTCATCTAGGTTTGATGCCATTTCTCAGATTTGGGCGGATCCAGATATCTTTTCTGACAGTTTTTTCCGAATTATCTTTGTTGATCTATCCTCTATTTGTGACCGTCTTCCAACGAAACAAAATTAGATGCCCATCAATGTAAACTTATGAATTCTGACCGTTTTCCAGAAGACCCAGAACTGTCCGTTTCACTACGGAGATTAAAAGGTTCACTTCTTCCGATTACTGAAATGTTTTTTTTTTTCAGTTTGCTTTAATCAAACACTTATGTATAAAAAAATTGCAATTTCCTTTACAGGCTAACCTCAACTTCGCCAAAGAACAAGATGAGTTGAAAATTAAAGAGGAAAGAATTAGATTTGAGGAAGAGTGCCTGAGGAACTTTGAAAACAACCAAAAGGTACATGTATATCGTTTTAGACCCCCCAAAAAATTCTTTGTGCGAAAAATAAGATGAAGTTAGCAAAAAGGAGAATATTAAAAACATTATAAATATATTCGTTACTTATATTTATGTTTTTAAACAAGTGATAACGGTAAGTTGGGGTTTGTGTACCTTCTACCAGGGCGACAGATTGATTTTTTAAAAGATATTCACAGATATATCTTTAAGATAAATAGTCAGTCATTTAATTCTCTACCATTCTCTGGCTTTTACAAAATTCCCCTATAATACAGTGTATCTGCCACCCTGGTAGAGGGTAGGGTTTGTGGGGGGACAAAATAAGTCATCAAAATCTTCCTTTATATGTGTTTTTTCATAGGAAACATTCCTCACTACTAATTCACAAAAATTAATTTACATACCTTTAATGAGATAATGCTGTATTTTCAGAAATTCCCCATTCGGCGCGATGTGTTTGAACAAAGCAAGCCCCCCTCTAGATTCAGACGATGGTGGAATTCTGTCGTAGATGCCGTGAGATCTTCATTTTATTTCGGTGGACGCAGACGCACCAGGGTTCACCCCTTAGAGTAAATGGATTGTGTACAGACAAATTAACTAAATAATGAATGAAAGCAACGGTGAAAATATATAGGAAAAAAAATATCAAAGTTTTATCATATGTATTGGTGCTATATCATATTTTTTTCTACAACAAGAATCAAAATGGTAAAATGGATAGTATTTCCACAACATTGGCGATTGAAATCATATAACGACAAGTTCATTACTAAGAAATTATTTTATTTCTAATTCTTAAATAGAGGTAACAACATAGCAAAATGACTAAAACGAGACACGTGCTCAGTGACCCCACCGATATCCATTTAATTGCTTCAAATAACGTGATTGTTTCTCCAAACCCGGGATACCAGGGCCCGTGATAATACTTAATTTTTCGAAAGTGATATAACTGTTGTCGAGGAAGGAAAATTAGTACCGCTGCACTCTTAATAGGCGCATCACCCCACCTATAATGATAAATTCCACCACTTTCGTCTATGAATTTCAAAAAACGCGCAACGTCGGTTCTTCGCCAAAAGTCAAATCTTGATACTTCAAAGTTATTGTAAAATATCCCACCATCTGGCCAATCGCTGTATTCTTTGGGTTCAACAGAATTCACTTTTAGATAATGTGTAATATTTTCCTTGAGGTAAGTAAGGCAGAGCGGATTGTCAAAGTAGACAAGGTTATATCCATAGGTGTAATGGTTATCCTGCATAAACCTGAATATATCATATGTGATGTAATCCTGAAGTAGCGAATCATCATCAAGTCTGAAGTACCACGTGATGTTGGCGAGAATCGGTTGCTGGGCAACCAGACGAGCATGGAATCTGCTCATGTGATTGTAACCAGGGAAACGGGACCGATCAGGTTTTGGACACGTGATGTCCTTGACGGCTTCCTCTACTGACACATTCAAGTAGTAGGGCTGGGTGAAGTGGATTTTTTGGAAGAATATTCTTGATGTAGAAATATCTGTTAAATCAGTCAAATCTCTATCAGTGACGTTTCCTTCATAGAAAACAACCACAGGGTATTGAAAATTTTGATTAAAATACGTATCAAGATGACGAACGGCGACTTTCATTCTCCAAAAACTCGCCTCGTAAGTCAAAAAATATATGACTGCTTTCGGCTTTCCATTGGGCCAAGTGCTGACCACACGCTGAAACTCCTTCAACTGTTGGTCATTCCTTAAGTCCCTCAAAACAGATTTTTGCCTCATCTGTGTGCGGACAATTAATGTGACGGTCAGGATACAAATGACCAGTGCAGTTATCAAGAGGAAAGGTCGTGACCTTGATCGACGCAGCAGCAGGGTGTTCAACATCCCCTCATACCTGTTAGGTAACGATAATAATAAATAAATAAATAAATAAATAAATAAATAAATAAATAATGTTCATAACATTAAACATCAGTAGCTGAGCATTAAATATAATAAACAATAATAAATAAATAATAATAATAAATAGCTTTTTCTTTCTAAACTAACAACAAAACTGTATCGAAACCCTCCGAAGTTATATGTAGGCCTAGCACGCAACGCCTTTATGCCTGACATTATGTGTGTGTGCGTGTGAGTGTGTGTGTGTGCGTGAGTGTGTGCGTGTGTGTGGAGATAGTCGCTATGGCCCACGAAGCACGATTATCATCATACTAGGCCTATAACACGCGTGATATTGCACCTATTGTAGCGTTTTAAGCGACTGAGAATCCAACGTCTACTTACACCATACAATGTGATTCTTACAGAAGCGATGTACACTGCACATCGCAGGTATGCCTTCACAATAAAGGAATTCATTCTTCATTACATGTAAATGCAATATCAGGTAAGAATGAGGCATAAAGGCTTATTGAGTCTGCAGCTACAAACTGCTCATACTCATCCTTACGCTTATTTTTGACAGTCTATTTTGAGACTTAGCTAGCCAAACGCATACTAAATCACTGGAAGAAAGCTATACCGATGTAAAATTTACCTGAAGGCACTCCGGTTCACCAGAACTACTATATCATCCCTGTCTGCGACAGAAATTGTGTCACATATATGCGTGACCTCGATTTCGCTATGACCCAGAGGTGTTTATTCAACAAGATCATTCCAGGTGAAAACTTGTATGACGTCATGCAGGTGTATCGATTTGTCAACCGCATATTAAAGGTACACTCCATGGGTTGAAAACTCCACAAAATGCTTATTTTTGCCATCCACAGCTTCTTATTAATCATTACAAACACCTTAAAACGATGTAACCCCTTTTAAATATTTTTGTGGAGCGTACTTGATGTTGATATTTACATAGGAGCATAGAAAGAATGGTCGCTGGTGAAAATGACTGACCATTTTAAACTAAAGCCTTATTACCCCCGGAAATCCATTTTAGTGGGAAATCCCTACAGAGTTGACCTTTAATAACCAAGGGATTCTTATACGAGGTCTTTTTCACAACTAGAAATTTTAAGAAATATTATCATCAGACACTTATGAAATCAATAGTGAAAAATCAGAAATTTTACAGTTGTATGTTATCCTGAAAATGACGAACAGAAAGGAAGAAGGGGGAAAAGAGAAATTATAATTTTATGTAGGCCTTTTGAGTACGCATACAACGTGTTTATAAGTGCCATTCTTTCCATTCAAATGTAAGTCCGTGTGCGCGTGTGTACATGCATGTGTGCGTTAATCAAAAAAATTTTGTCATTACCCTCTGCTTGTCACTAATCAAAAAGACGAAAAAACTAACTTCATAATGCAAGCCAACAAATTGAGGTTATTCGAAATTTTATTCACCTGTATAAAAATAAACAAGACATAAATTAATAACACTTTATAAGCCAAAACAAAACCATTTGATATTTCCATCATTTTTCACAATCTCCAAGGTGATATATCTTCCAAATCTGTTAAGTTTACGATTTATATATATAACCCCGTTTTAGAGGTATTTCATTTTTTACTGTTCGTGGTGGTATTAACTGAAAAGTTAAAAAAATAAATTTTGTCAATCGATTTGGGTGTGGTGCACCTTAGTAATTATGAAAAAAAAAAAGGAAAAAAAAAAAGAACGTAAAGAAAACTGCTAGGAACAGACATTTGGTGCTACCCCTGTACACGAATCATGCCCTCTACCAGTGTGGCAGATTATATAGGGAAAAACGGAAAAATCCACACAGCCAAATGACTGTCTATTTATCTAGAGACATATCTGTGAATATCTGAGAAAAATCAATCTGTCGCCCTGGTAGAGGGTACATGTATCATATATATTTTATTAAATCCTAAGTATTTTCGTTTTGGCGCAATCGATCGGCTGAGAAAGGAACGCACTGATTGTGTTACCGTGAGAATGGTCCTACGAAAACAAAAACAATTAAAACCAACAGCACCATTCCGACTAGAGATACCACGGGTATTTCAAAGATATCTGTGCTCAGGAAAGTATCTATCCATGTGTCGTTTTTGACGCCGTGTCGATACCGCAAATCCGAGAAGAAATACGTTTGGTTTTTGTCAAGAAATATGGTAACTGCGTCCGTTTTGATTGGTGCGTCACCCCAGCGATCATAATATATACCTCCCTGCCTGTCAATGTAGTCTATAAATTGCCACACGTCTGGCCGTCGCCAAAAATTTACATTAGAAATCTCAAAGTTGTTCCAAAATATGTCTAGCTTTGGCCAATGGTAATAGTGCTTCGGCTCTATAGATTGGTTAAATAGGTAATAAGTCACGTTACCTAATAAATGTTCAACACATAAAGGGTCTTCCTCATGGACGGAATTGTAGCCATACATGTAACCGCCGTTCTCCATCGTCTTAAAAACGTCGTAGGAAATATAACGTAAAATCTCGGAGTCGTCGTCAAGTCTCCAATACCACGTGACGTTTGCGAGAAATGGGCTTTCAAAAACGAGGCGGACGTGGAAGCGACACATGTGATTGTAACCAGGAAACCGAGATTGGTCCAAGGGGTATGGACATGAACTTCTTTTTACCGCAGCCCGTAAAGATTCTTTGATAGAATCAGGCTTGGTGAATGTAACTCTTTGGAAAAATAATGGTGAAGGAGACTGTGATAGCAATTTCCATAATGCCTCATCTGATAAATATTGCTCATAGAATATTATTACAGGATACATGTATTTTCGGTTGAAATTCTTATTTAAAAGTCTCAACGATCTTTCGAGCCTCCACAAATTATCTCCGCTGATCAAATAGTATATCACAGCTCTTGGTTTTTCTGGCGACCAATCTCGCATCATCTCGTTGAATAACGCAAGTTCTCCGTCATTGCTAGTTGGCCTTCGCTCACCCATCGGCGGAAGCTCCAGTTGGAAGGCATGTTGACTACTCGATGTATTGTAAGCGAAAAATAACAATATAAAGGGAATGATCCCAATGAATCCAATTCCAAGGACCTGTTTTGCTGGCAGTGGCCGAATTCCACACATTTGATTCGACGGTAGATGCTGAAATGACATTTTGGAATATTATGTGAATGGTGTTATCGTGCTGTGAGAACGCGGTTATTCTGACAAATATTAATTGCGAACCCTTTTAGTGCATGAAAGTGTAACAAATTAAGTAACAAGCGTAACAAGTAGTAAATGTATATTGTAACAAGTAAGATGTCCATCTCCCTCTTTCTCCTTCACTCTCTCTTTTACTGTCACACACACGCACGCACACACACACACACACACACACACACACACACGTGAACCAACACAATTCTTGTTTAAATGCTGATAAAGAGACCAGTGCATGTCATTCCGCCAAACTCTCTCTCTCCCTCTCTAGCTCAAACGCACTCTCACTTACATCTAATCGTCAGATTAGATTTCAAGAATGTCAAAATCTTCACCTAATTAGCTCACATAAAATTAAAATACTGGGCTACAATGCATCAGCAAAGCTAACGCAATGTGTTGCGCCGAAATAGGTTGTCTGGCGATAAACACGAATAAAAAAGCGCTTTTTTAGTTTATTCACCAAAGTTTTAATTCAAACTTAAGATAACATAAATTTAATTAGAATTATTCGTAGTAAAATCGAGTGGCTGGCATGATTTATTGTTGCGTTACACTAAATAACGATATTATCGATACACTCATCATACCTCACAAAGGTGTTTTTAACTTCAAAATGTCATTTTTGCTTTACCTTTGAAAACAATTTTGAACAAAGTTTCATTGTTTTTTGGCAGTTATCAGTAGAATACATAACTGAGGTGTAGCTATTTTGGCAACGTTCATATTTTGGCATTCCACGTCCTTCCGTCACAAATCTTTTCTCCCTTGTATTTTCCTTTAAAATTAGAATGTCTACGTCACCACCCATGTCATTCTACCAGTCATTGACATGCATTATGCACAAAACGTGTATTTGACATTTTTTTTTTTTTTTTTTTTTGATAAGTGGAAACTGTGACATACACTTTATATGAAGTATTACATTCTGTCTTATATACTATTACCCCTCTCCCTCTTCTTCTTCCTCTCTCATGCGTGTACACATATAAGCATACGTGAGACGTGTGTGGATTTCATTTTGATTTATGTTATCTCCCGAGGTTAGTTTAAAACAACCATTAGGATAGAAGTTGTGAGTGTGTTGTTAAGCTGTATTTATATCCGCATTGTTATATATCATATGAATTCATAATGTGATAAGCTTATAATTTATTTATTCAAAATCAAAGCAACCGAAATGCTGAAGTTGTACGAATGCAAGAGTGCAAATAAAAAAAAAGAAAAGAAAGGGTTATGTACAATGATCACAATTAGCACAGGTATTTAAAAAGGGCTGTATAAAAAGCTAAATAAAGAAAATTGAATAAGATGTGTTTTGAAATCAAACTGTTTAAATTTAGACCTACTGAAGGTAGAGTGGGTGTTATCCCTTAAGTTTTTGTGGGATTGGGAGATCAAAAAGATTTTAAACCTCTAAAGAGGTAAATGATCACGGTATGGTTGTTCATGCCCGTATACCAACACTTAGAACTGCGGTTATCTGTTTTATGAATTATTCAAAACTGTTATATTATAGGTTTCTCTGCTGGTGCAATGTAATATAGACTTACTTGCATGCATTTAAGATACAAATCTAGATCAAACGACACAGAACCTAAATCATGGGGTCTAATCATTGCCATTTTAGGGCTCATTCTCAGTGAAGCTATCGTTCTACGTAGATCGATCCAACTCCGCGGGGACTCTCGCTGAATGCAGTCAGATTCAGAGATTAACGCGCCGCCTCTTGTTTCCAGCGGACTCATATAATCGCCAGCTTTTCTGTATTCTACTCAACGTCAGGAGAGACGTGTTACTCTGCTTATCTGATTGCCTTCAGCGAGAGTCCTTGCGAAATTGGATCGACCTACGTAGAACGTGGTTTCATTGAAAAAGGGCCCTTAGTCAACAACCTTGACAAGCATCTTTTGTGCTGGAAATTCCTCCCTATCTAACATGGGAGCAAGTCACCAATATGAGCGAGAGACGAAGATTAAACTTAACTACTGGCCTACTTACTACGTAACTACAATACACACAATAGTATAAAGATTTATGGTGGTTTGAGAAAAATTCCGTTCAAGATGCCATTGTTTTTATAATTATAGACAGAGCAGAGTGCGACATATTCAATACAAAACATTCAGTACAAAACATAATTTAGAATGACTTTTTAAAATATTGGTACTTTTTATCTTTAAAATTAAATTGTCTGAAAGACGTAAATCTTATTAATAGAGTTACATTTAGTCTTGAAACACGTTCTTTATACAAAAAAAAAATAAATAAATAGATAAATAAAAATAAATAAATAAATAAATAAATAAATAAGATGGAGAAAATCGTATTCTGCAACATAAATTGGCAAATATTATTATTTTTCCCAATTAGACTTGGTGCGAAAATCCTGTATAGTATATCTTCAACTTATTTCCTAAAAAATAAGAGGCAAATGATTGTCTTAATTTGTGATATGCTTTTCTAGTTTTCGCAACTCATTTTCACTTGCAATCTTAGCGTCAGATCCGATTTTAAAAATGTAAATTATAAATAACTAACATGCTTGCAGATATTTGGATATAAAACCAGGCACGCTTGTCACCATAATATATCTTCTGTCTCATGAATAATTAACTTATTTCATTAGAATAGGGGAGGCTTATGATTATCTGGGCAGCTATTTCATACTTGAATACCTTCCACTGGGAATAATAACTCTATGTGAATAAGGGGTGGCCTAACCGTTCATTAAACCTAGTGGCTGTCATAATTTGGCCAATTAGGCCTTTCAAGGACGTCATACTAGTAGTACATAAATAAAACAAGTCCACTGGAAGAGGGGGGGGGGCGTATGCCGTTTATGTATTACACTACGTATAATGGTACAGACAACTGCACTTTTTTAAAATATGATATAGAGATAGCCGGCCATACTGCAGTGTCATGAAGATATGGAATCTTGATTTTGCCCGCGATCTTATGACAGTGTCTGGTTTGTGTGTTAGTGCGCGCGCGCGTGCGTGTGTGCATGCATGTAGGCCAACACGAGAGAGAGAGAGAGAGAGAGATTGACCCACACAAGCAAAATATGCCACACCGAAATCGTACAATAACGGTCCTGTACGACTGGGGTGTATTGGTTAACCACCTTTCATGTGCTATGTTACGGGTCATTCACATGAGAAAAGGTGACTGTTTCTTTTTTTCTCTAACAAAAAATTTACTTTAATGGGCTTCTGATGCTGTAAGCCATACACACATTCTTGATCCCTCCACCCAAACATTAAGCAACATGTGCTGTGTTTATAAAAATACAAGTACTCCATACAAAAAAGATAATAATAATAATAATAACGCGGAGTCTTCGGTACACATATTTCTGCATCAGTGCCCGTGGTCAACATGCACGCGGTCTAACGTATTGTGATTATAAATTATCTTTCTCCAAACTCAGCGTAACTTGGGCATCACTGCTGCATACGTATCGCAGTAAGTACTTAGCACAGTGAGGTGTCGCATCGAGACAACTCTCTCCAAATCACCCCTCCCCCTCTACACACGTAGTACAGAGACTTAATACCGCGGACGGCAACATATATTAGGTAGGGTATTGTCTCTATCCTTTTTATACATATTTTCTTGGCTACATCCTCTACTTACCCGACAAACCGCCTTGCCTTCATGTAGCCAATCTGGGTGACAATGTCAGGTGTTGGATGGAATACCACTGCGCATGCGTCACAAAAAGGTATATTGATCATCGCGTACATCTCCTGTGATACGTGTGTGTGATGTATATATAGCGATGCAGGGAAAACTGTAGGGCTGCTATATTGTTGACTTAAAAATATGTTAAATATCCCTCTAGGTATATTCAGTATCGGTTTGATGATAGTACCGTTTTAATGCTAGAGGCTAGATGAAGCGTTTACACTGTACTTAACGAACTGGTACTATTGCGAGATACGTGAACATGCATGGTAGCGGTTTTCTATATAGCCTACTAATATTGCTCCTCAATTCATGTTCCTTAGACCTAAATAAACCAAAATAATAATAGTTCTAGGGACTATTATTTTTCAAGATAAATTTAATTTCTCCATGTTTCCCATTCGAACCCAGGTATGCCATATTAACTGCTGACGAGGCGACGATCTAACCTACAGTAACACATTTTTTTTCTGAGGGCCCGTTCACAATGTATTTGTCCAAAAAGCTAATACGCACTAACTCTAGGGGGGCCCTTGCTGAATGCAATCAGCTTAATCAACATGCCTTTTTTTGTTTCCAACGTACTCGTATAATCACCGCAATTTTTATATTCTACTCAACGCTAGGAGAGGTGAGTAAGCTTGTTAATCTGATTGCATTCAGCAAAGAATCCCCGGGGAGTTAATGCGTGTAAGCTAGGTCTAAAAATCGTTGTAAACGGTCCCAAAGTTTGAAGAATTTTACTTACCGTGGTAATGGAGATTGAAACTGGTGATTAATTTCCCTAGTAATTTTAATAATTATCTGGACCACCGACCATGTAAACACTTACCAGGTCTGTATCGCGAGTGCATCTTGGAATCGTGACGGCCTTTTTCCATCGAGGAAAGATCGATATCTTACTTGAATAATACCAGTTTTCCCCTTCTAATTTATTTTTGTATATGTATTTTGTTAAATTCTGTTTAATATTTTGTGTGTTATTAATATTGCTGATTTATTTCCCATGATTTATTTCACCATTCTGCATAGTAGTTAATCAGCATTAGGTTTATTTGTTATAACTATTCCCTTTCTTTCTTTCTTATTTGTTGTTGCTTTTGTATATGTGTGTGTGTGTGTGTGTGTGTGTGTGTGTGTAATTTGTAACTTTCTTGTAATTAACAGAGTGTATAAAATGCTTCCATGCACTTTACCTCCTTTTCTTGTGAATAAACTTTGTTTTAAAAAGGTTATCTTTCTTCAACCGTTGAACAGGTAGTATGACTGTGATATCAACGGCGGCATGGTCGGGAGGGAAGGGCAAGCAGTCCAGAAACATGCCTCGAAACAGGTTATTGCCTTTATTACTTTATCTTTGGCCGGATCCAGAGCAGTGGACTAACTTGTCCAGGGGTCAAATATGGCCGATCCACTTGAATACAACCCCACGGAAAATGTATTCAGTGTGTATTAGCGGATTAGACGGCAAGCTTTTTAGTCGGTGGCCATATTTGACCCGCGGACTAGTTAGTGCACTGTTCTGAATGCAGCCTTTAAAACCGCTAGGTTACGCGTCAGTTCTTATCGGTTCCAATCAATACATTTTTCACCTAACCTTTGTAAGCGGACAGTTGGATTAAATATATAGATATAATTCCTCTGCATATTTGATAAATGCGTTTAACTGTTGGCTGTCATGCAGTGCTTGGTAGAAGGGAAAAAAACGTTTTTTTCATGCAGTTGCTTTTAATTTATTGAAATCGAACTTCGTCCCAAACAAATGACAAGCAACAGAAGATCGAGGTGAACGAATTTCTAAACAGATAACATCTTTCTCCTCTTATTTTTGACAAACAGCGTTAAACAGCATTAGTTTCATTGGGTTAAAGGTCTCTAGTAAATGTGTCCTAATTGACTTCTATATGTCTTACTAAAGGACTCACTTTTGATATATATATATATATATATATATATATATATATATATATATATATATATTCCATGTTCTTCATCTTGCATATTATTAACATAAACGTTTAGACTGTGTATAGTTGTTGGAAGTTTTCCCCGAGTTAACTTGCAGGCTAAAAATTACTCTGGTTTCTTTCTAACAATATCTTATTGTTCAAGTGGTGTTTGGACACTTTTTCCTTGATTGAAGGTAAAAATTGAAAATTTAAAGCCATTTTAATTTTGTTGAGGCGCAATTGTGGTAGTGGATATCTTATTGCGGTTGATGAGACACCCAGGGTTCCTGTACTGATTCCGATTGTAAACCAAACAGTTCAACATGAAACACATATATATACCCGGCAATATATTCATTTGAAGGTTTGTGTGTCTACATTAATACTAGACACGGTTGGCTAATATCAAAGTATGATTATGCAAGATTAAGCTGAAGACCCAGTGCCGTATGTTATACACGCTACATTCTAAATCTATGTTATATACTCCTGCTACCATATCAGTATCACAACTGAATTCAGTCAGATAATGGCGATAAAATATGTCACTGTGTCTGTATTGTACATAGAGATAACCCAAAAATTAATGATTAAGATGTACTTTGAAGTCTCCTTGAACACTGAACGTCTCACCTGATCAGGTGTACGTGTCAAGAGAGACAGCACATCTAATGGCGACTGGGGGCGTGTACATGCCACCAAGAGAAATATAACTGGAGAAAGTACAGGTAAAAACCACTCATAATATGTCGCCATACATTACATTGGGAATACAATTTCGGTAATTGTCTGATAATGTTGTGTGTTGGGGCTTGCTGCAGTTTGTGTCTATGTAGGTTGGTAAAAACATTACGCGCCGTTACCGAGTCCGGATTGTACTATTCACTCATCATAATACCTACCCTGTGATATTTCGGTAACCTGCTTTTAGAATTGTCTTTCATTTTCAGTTTTCATATATTTCATAATTCAATTGATTGTTCTAATTATATATCTTTTTGTTAAGTTTCATTTTTACTTCCTCCTTTCTTTTCACTTTTTTTGCTTTGTGTTTGGTCTTATTACTGCACTCATTTTCATCCTATAGTGAATATTAACTTTTGTTACATACGCCTAATAAAGAGGCTTATGCGGTTCTCTACAAAAATGAAGACGTTTCATGACTTTTCTTTCATGTGTCGGCACTTGTCTCACTCATTTTAACATGAAGTTGCACACCTTACATTGCAAGTACTTAAATATGGCTTTTTGATGTTATTCTATTACCAAATCTTCATCTTTTATTTGATGTATTTAATTTCTTTATTTTCATATCTTGGTATTAGGAGCCATGTCTCTGTCCAAGATCCTAACGGAAGATTTCCTAACGTGCAGCATATGTCATCAAAAGTTCAAAGATCCCAAGGTCCTCAGCTGTGCCCATACGTTTTGCCAGCATTGCCTCCAGGGCCATTTGGACAGAAATTGTCAAGGTCAGCCTCGCTTCCCTTGTCCTATCTGTAGACGTCACTGTGTCCTCCCTGGAGGCGGTGTAAGTGCTTTACAAACAAATCATCTTCTGGTCAGCATATCACAAACACATGGTCAAGTAGAACAAGCCAAAGCTGCCAAGAAATGCAAGATATGTTGCATGAAAAATGTCTACAGCCCATCAACGGCAACAAAACGATGTTCGGACTGTGAGGAAAGCATGTGTGGAGATTGTTCTTCGGATCATGTGCTTCATAATTTCAGTCGTGACCACAAACTGTTTCCTGTCGACCAGTTTGACAGCGACGACTACGTGACAGAGCTGCGTGCCCGGCAAAACGTCCTGTGTGACCACAACAACAAGGACCCCGTAGAAATCTTCTGCCCAGTGTGTGTAAAGTTCGTCTGTGTCGGTTGTATGGTTTTAGAACACCAGGGTCATGATTGCCTTAGAATCAACACTGCTGCCGACAAACGCAAGGAGAAACTAGAACTCAGGGTGAAGCCCATCGAGAAGAAAAGTCTACGGTACGATCACTTTAAAACAGCTGCTGAAGACCAGAAATTATCAGTAGAAGAGGGAAGAAAGAAGGCAAGGAGTCAAGTGAACAAGCAGTTGGATCAAGTTGTTAAGATGGCCCGTCAACGTGCCAATGATCTTCTGGAAGAAATAGATACAATGTCAAATGCCAAATTAGACATCTTGAATGGTTTAATTGCAACTGCTACCGCCGACCAAAAACAACTGGACGACGTTGTAGACTTCTCAAGGAAACTCATTAACCATGGCAACGATATAGATGTCCTCCAAATGGCCTCGGCCTGTGAGCAAAGCAGCGAGAGCGTTGAGACTCTAGACATCCCGAGTCTGCCCGCAGCCATGACCCAGCTACAGCTAATCACCAACGACATGGATGAGTGCGTTACCAATATCAACAGTTGTCTTGGAAATGTAGTTCCGGTCGTGAGTGGAAGACTGGTGACATCATTCAAAGTAGAACTGGCCAAGTCTCCTGAGGAGATGATCAGTCACGTGACCACTGATGTAAACGGTGATTTTCTTTTTGGCATATTCTGTAATGAGGACAAGTCACGGAATAGAATCCTCATCTACGATTCCAACTTTGTCCTTCAGGGCACAATTCCAAATCCAAGAGCAGCAGAAAAGTACGGCTTTGCAGGGATTGCCATTGATGATGATGGCAACATTGTCACTAGATGTCAAGGGTCAAATGAAATCATTGTCTACTCCAAGAAAGGAGACCACGTGAGAACATTCCACAGTGAGTCACCTAATGCAGCAGCGGTCAACAGCAAGGGTCATTATGTAGTGGCAGGTCGCAGTACTTTGACTGTGCACCACAAGGATGGCGAGGTCTTGCAGACGTCACCGGACCCAAGGAATAAATATATGAAACGCATCCACTGTAACGTCAATGATGACATCATCGTCACAGGAGATGATCACGTCCGTGTATACGATTCCACTCTCCAGCTTAAATACAGATATGGTACCCAGGGTGATGGAGACGGACAGGTGAACGGTCCGTGCGGCACATGCTGCTTGGATAATGGAGATATCATTCTAGCAGACCTAAAAAACCATCGTCTACACCTGGTGTCACAAGCTGGAAAATTCAACCGATTTCTTTTGACCAAAAGAAATGGACTTGTAAATCCACAACATCTTGCAATAACTTGTCTCGGACAACTTGTCGTTGGGGAAGAGAAAGGCGAGATTAAATTATTCGAATTATGAGTGACTGTTCAGCTTACAATGCCCCCCGAACATGTGCTTGTCAATATAGACTTTTGTTAATATTTGATTACATATATGTAAAATATGTTCAGAGCACATATCAGTGAAGACAGAAAGTCGTATGTTTTAAATTATACGTGTTATTTATTGGTAAAAAATTGTTATTTACTTATTTACTTAGTGGTAATGCGTTGTTTCACTAAACTGTCTGTAAATTGATTGGGTTTACGTCGGCCATTCACCTTTCCACCACGGTGCTCACGAAAATTTTGTAACCCTCACAATTAAGTCTCGGCCCTACTCTACGTGACGTCAGTAGTATTTTACTGCAATGTGTTTTTGTTTCTTATGTTTTTAAAGTGCCTGACCCCGGTCCGTGCGCTGCTGTCCAAATACAGCGAGAGAAAAAAAACTTGAATTATATTTGCTACCTGCGGTGATTTTAGATTCACAAGCCATTCTGTAGGAAAAAACCAAGTACAGAAATTTTGACTTTATTTTTCCTTGTAACGGTGGCATACCTTATACGTGTCCCCAAGGTTCAGGCAACTTTAGTTCGTGACTGCAGTTTTCAACTCTCTGTTTTTCCAAATCATCCAAAACACTCCAAAATTTAAAGTCAGGGGCCTTGTGAATGACAAACGGCAGTGCCAGAAGACAAGAATCCTTCTTTGATTTTGTAGGTACTGTCAACCAAAAGTTTGGATTGTGGACAAGTTTGATCCCGTTTTCGTGCGCCAGTGTGGATAAGTACACATCTTCAGTGAAGAGATGTTTCCAAAACGAAGCTGAATGGAGGACTCCGACGACTTAGAATGATGCTACTGTAGCAAATCCCGACAGGAAAGCCGGATATTTATTTCCAACGTACTGCCTAAATGAATGATAATATTTTTGTGTTGGATTTCGAAAAGGAGAATTCTCCTTCTGGTATAAAAAACCCGTAAATAACGTTTCCGTCTTGAGTTTTGGAAGATCCCTCAAGTATCTGATAATCTCGCGGTAATTTGCGACAACATCGTGCCCGCACCTCAAGACAAATTTTGCACCTGCGCAGTAATCAATGGCCCATCGCATGGCCAGTAGTGACTTTAGAGTGAAATTTTTGTAGGTGTCGTAAAATGTCATTTTGATGATATCTCTGTGTTCAGAGTTTTCTGCTAACATCACATGCTCCATGTCTGAATCATTTGTTTTGCCGACAACAGTTTTTATTTTCTCTCCAAGTACGTCTTTAACGCTCCCACACGTCTTTCGGTACATGTCCCTGGTGACAAAATCACGAGGATCGGACATAACTAACACTAGGAGAAATACGTCGTCTGTATCCCTGCAGGGGTTGTTTATAATGTACCTGTATCTTTTAATATGGTACCACAGGTCAGAATCATTTTTCTTTAGCTCACATACAATCTCCTGTATCATGCAATCCCCAAGACTAATCTGTTGACTGTCCTCTTGAACCAATTCTCCTGGATGCCTCCTGCTGAGATTTTCAGAACTTTGCATCTTTCGGTTTCCATCTTCATCTTTGTTTTTGACGGAGAGCGTGCTATTCCGGGTACACTGCACAACGCTAGAGAACATGTACGATACCGTTTGCTATATATATCTCATCAGCTATTCCGTTATATACTACAGCGTACATGACCATGTGTAGTATGTATGATCTTTCGCTTTTTCTAGCCCCATGTATTATACTGTCCGATATTCGAACACTCAACAATTTCGAGTGCTCATATTCGCTGTTATTCAAATAGCACAGTGGACGTGGATAATTTACAACATGGCGTTCCCGTTATCTTTTTATTCCTGATGTGGGTAATTATCCAAACAAAGACGACACTTTAAAATATTATAAACAGGTGTATTCATGCGAAAGTGACTGCGGACACTTTACTGGGAGACCAACTGGCAGGTAAAGAAGAGCGCTAGGCAAGACAAGCGAGCCTTCATTCACGAACTCACAGAGGAGACAGAGGCAGCAGCAAGGAAGGGAGACATGAAAAGAATCTATGAAATTACAAGAGCGTTATCAGAAAACGAGGAACCTTACCCAACCAGCGAGAGACAAGAACGGTACCGTAAGACCATAGCAGGAGAGGCAGAGCAAAGAGCAAGATGGGCAGAATATTTTAAGGAGACTTTGAACAGACCCCCACCAGCAGTACCTCCTGACATACCACCAGCCAATCAGTTACTTGACGTTAATACTAACCCACCAACAAAGCAAGAGATCATGAAAGCCATCAAGTCCCTGAAGTCTGGCAAAGCAGCAGGACCAGACGGCATTCCACCAGAAGCCCTGAAGGCAGACATCCAGACATCAACGAATTGCTGCACCCATTGCTAGTAAAGATCTGGGAGAAGGAAGCAGTACCAGAGGACTGGAAGAAGGACTGTATTGTGAAACTACCCAAGAAAGGAGACCTCACGTTGTGCAACAACTGGAGAGGGATTATGCTACTTTTTATACCTGGAAAAGTACTGTAAAAATCATCTTGGAGAGACTTAAGACTGCCCTCAACAAGACCCTGCGAGACGAACAAGCAGGCTTCCGCAAAGATAGATCCTGTACAGACCACATCACCACAATGAGAATCATCATAGAGCCGTCATTGGACTGGCAGACACCACTGTACAGCGTTTTTGTAGACTTCCAGAAGGCGTTTGACAGCGTGGACAGGGAGGTCATCTGGAAACTGATGCAGCACATCACCTCAAAGTACATCACCATCATTCAGCAGCTGTATGAAGATGCAACCTGCCAAGTCATACACGAGGGAAAGCTAACTGACCCCTCCCAGATACAGTCTGCTGTACGTCAGGTGATGGTGGTGGACTGGATTATGCGGCAATCTACTGCAGGCCATAAGACCGGCATCCAGTGGACATTCACCAAGCAGTTGGAAGACCTCGACTTTGCAGATGACATTAGCCTTCTCTCTCACAGACAACAACATGCCCAGGAGAAACTAGAACGTGTCGCAGTAGAGGCAGAGAAGACTGGCCTCAGGGTCAACATCAGGAAGACCGAGGTCCTACGCATCAACAACCAACAGCAAGACCCTCTAATTTCTACAGCAGGAGGAGATCAAGGAAGTAGACAAGTTAACTTACCTGGGCAGCGTAGTGAGTAAAGATGGTGGAGCAGATGATGACATCAGGAGCCGCATCAACAAAGCAAGACATGCCTTCAGACTTTTTCACCCTATCTGGCGATCTTCAGCTATCTCACTCCAAAACACTATCAGAATTTTTAACACCAACGTCTAGTCATTCATGCTTTTTGTCTCAGAGACATGGTGCACAACAAAAACCAACAGGAAAAAATTGCAAACTTTCGTCAACAGGTGCTTGCGTAACATCTTAAAAATCAGGCGGCCAGAAGTTATTTCAAACGAAGACCTCTGGGATAGAACAAACACCAATAGAAATAGACATCAAAAAGAAGAAATGGGGGGGTGGATAGGCCATACCTTACGCAAACCAACAACAAACGTAACTCGCCAGTCACTAAACTGGAACCCCCAGGGAAAGCGGAAAGTTGGAAGACCCAGGCAGACTTGGCAAAGGAGCACCGACAATGAAATGAAGACAGCCGGAATGACATGGGCCGATCTGAAGATGATCTCCCAGAATCGTGTCCGTTGGAGGGGTGTTGTTGCGGCCCTCCCCCGAGGAGATAGAGGCATAATAGATGGATGGAATGATACCGTGTAGATAGAAGTGCTAGTACATGTATATACAAAACAATAATACAATATGATAACACATCATCTCCCCTCTTATGAAAGGTTTGCAGATATATATATATATATATATATATATATATATATATATATATATATATATATATATATATATATATATNAACCTGAACACATTTTAGAATGATTTTATTTCTTATATTAGAACGATTTTATTATGTGATTTTAATACTATGGAAATTATGGGGTATTACGATTTAAAGGCCAGATCCAGGGGCAGATCCAGGATTATTAGAAGGGGGGATCCAGAACGACAGGCCTCGGATGCGAAGCCGACCATCGCCCACTTGCTGTGGGGTTAACGTTTGGCGCCTGCTCAAGGGCACAAAAATATCTTGGTAATTTGGAGAGCAGTGCCCTTTGGTTTGGTTTAGAACTATGATATAGGTAGTCGAAATTCCAATTTCAAGAGAGAAATATTGGTTGTGATATAATTATCAGAACCCGAAGGGGGGCTCAGGATCCCCCTGACTCCCCTCTAAATCCACCACTGGATTTTATGTATGTACTCTTTTGTCTTTCACCTCTGAGGTGGGAATAAATAAATAAATATATAAATAAATAAATAAATTAATTAATTATAAGAAGTGCTGAAAGCATGACATTCTTCACTGTCGTTAATTAAAGACTGACAAGTTATGTACCATTAATTATTCAAATTTAAAGACAGCTCGGTAGACAACGTGCGTTAGACCATCGTATAGGGATAGGTTTAAAGTCAAATGTTCATCACATCTGTTTTTCAAGATATTTAATTTATCATTTATACTAATTTTCATTCAAACTGGGGTTCTTTAACCGACAGAGTAAAAAATCAAGAAACGAACATTATGTACCTGCAAGTCGATGCTCAAGTACAGTAAAACTCTCTATATAAAGATAAAGAAACACGAAGACCGAATTTAGCTGAAAAGTTGTCTCAAATAATTTCTTTAAAACTCTCGACTTGATTTTTTTGCATACATTTGACATAAATGTGCAGTAACTCTACGTACTAGCTTTCATTTAATTTTAATTAAAATTTTCATTTTGACCGTATCCCAATACGTATTTTAAAATTACATTGTGCAGACTTCGAGACAAGACTTGTGTGAATATATGATTCAAAGATTGAATAATTAATTAATATATGATGAATAGGAATAAGAATCACGTTACCTTGGCGGAGGCCTGCGCTCTTTGAGGGCTTTTCTTTTGTTTATAATCAAAGACGTTATAATAAATAATGTCCACTAAAATAGTTGGATTGTACAATAATTTATATAAATTAATATAACTCTTAAACGAATTTTTAGAGATTTATAAGAATAGATAAAAGCGTTTTAATTGATTAAAATTATATTCAGCACATGGAGGATATTTTTAAAAATACAAATGTACGACCTTTTATTCATCCAAGAATGCATTAATGGTCTTATTTCAAGAAACTATGCATTTGAATATTTCCCATTTTTATACTTTCTATGCCTAGGTGCCGTGCAAGGCTCCTAATCCTTCCCAATTCAGGTCTTAAAAACTACACAACCCCTCAAATAAAATAACTTACCGTCAATAATTCCATCGGAGATGTACAGGAAGAAACTGCTGTCTAATGACTGATCAGACATTTAGAACTAAATCATCAAAATTTATATCTAATTGGAATAAAACATCAAATACAAGCGCTGGGAGGGCAGTAGAAAAAGAATGTTTTCCCCACCGAGGAAATTTCATTTTGGCTAAGAAACCACTGATTAATAAATGTCGTCACCGGCTTAGGTCATCACTTGGACAAAAAATTGCAACAACTCTGTAATGCAAATTGGATGTACATACACCCTTTTCTAGTCCCTCAGTTCTGTTGGTTGATGAGCCATAAATTTGGCCATTTTTTTAAATGAAGAATAGAAGGAGAAACGTAAAATAACAGATAATGGACTGGCTGAGTAAAACTAAAGGCAATCTGTAGGCTTGCTGCTTTAGATGAGGCAAGGGTGGTGTTTGTAACAGCTAAAACAATCGCACACACGTGTCTTGATTGTGGTGAAAAAATATTACCTTCTTACACATTTTACTAAGTGATTTGTTGACAATTCAAACGACAATTGTTGCCAATGGGACCTTGCGTAAACTGCTGTAAAGTCCTGATGCTTGTACGCATGGGATTTAGCTATTCATTTATTTGCCTCACAGACGTTTTACTAGGGCTGTAAGACAGTCTTATGTATTTTGAAAACCCTGGTCTTCTTACATGACACTTTGATTACAAACATTTTAGGGAAAATGGGTGGGATCTCAGGTGTTAATAAATAACAGTTGGTGTAGAAAACTCAGATATTACGGACAAGGAAAAATACCAGTTGTCCTAGGTATTAAAATGTTTAATCATTTGGGTGTGGATCAGGTAAAACGGTTTTATGCTTTGGCATCTCATCAACAAAATAATTGTTTGTGGTACAGTGGTATGTCAGGCTTGGTGACTAGGGTAAAACAGCTTATTTTAAAAAATCAGCTTGCAGTGTTCGATAGGGACGGCAAGATTTTGCGGCTCCTAAAAGGTTGTCTATAGATTACAAGCACATTGTGATCCAGGTTTTAAATGTCCATTATTGTTTGAGCAACGTTTTCACCACAGTTTTCACCACGTTTTCACTACAGTTAGGATCGAGTGATCACCTGTAGACTAAGATATAATGCGGTAGAGGAGATGCTGCACGAGTTATGGAATATATTGCTGTTGTTGAGACATGATTGTAGTGGTTGAGACACCCAGAGTTCCTATACTGATTCCTATACCGATTTCTGTAAATCAGAACGTTCAACATGTAACACATACATAAACCCGGCAATATATTCATTCGAAGGTTTGTTTGTCTAAATTATTACTAGCCACAGTAGGCGAATTTATTGATGTTTCTCTAAGATTCATCTCTCAAATCAAAGCATGGTTACTTAATCCACAATATAACATTAAGCTGAAGACCCAGTACTGATTTTCATATGCACGCTGCGTTAAATCTATGTTTAACACCCCTGCTACTAGGTCAGTTGTATCAGTGTCACTATTGAATTCAGTCAGATAACAGCAATGAAATAATGTGTTACCATGTTTGTATTGTACAAAGAGATAACCCAAATATAAATTACTGATTAAGATAACTTTGAAGTCCCATTGAACACTGAACGCCTCACCTGACCAGGTGTACGTGTCAAGAGAGACAGCACATCTAATGGCGAATGGGGGAGTGTACTTGCCACCAAGAGAAATACAACTGGAGAAAGAACAGGTAAATCCCACTCCTAATATATCGTAATACATTACGTTAGGAATATAATTCGGATAATTGTCTGATAATGTAGTGGGATGGTGCTTGCTATAGTGTTTGTCTCTGTAGGGTGGTATAAACCTAACACGTCGTTACCGAGTTCGGGTTGTATTATTCACTCGTCATAATACCTACAGTGTGAAATTTCGGTTTCCTACGTTTTTTTAGAATTATCTTTCATTTTCAGTTTTCATTTATTTCATAATTCAATTGATAGATTACAATAATTTCAATAACATATCTTTTTGTTAAGTTTCATTCGTACTTCCGCCTTTCTTTTTCTTTTTCTTTTTTTGCTTTGTGTTTGGTCTTATTACTGCATTCATTTTCATTCTAGTGATGTAAACGTTTGTCACATACATATAATAAAGAGGATTACATGGTGCTCTCCACAAAAAAAAAAAAAAAAAAAAAAAAAAAAAACAATGAAGCCGTTTTATACATTTTCTTTTATGTGTCGGCACTTGTCGTACTCGTTTTAAGTTAAAGTTGCATACCTTACATTACCTGTATTTGAATATGGCTTTTTGATGTTTACCTCCATTACCAAATCTTCATCTTTTATCTGGTGTATTTCATTTCTTTATTTTATTTTGGACTTAGAAGCCATGTCTCTGTCCAAGATCCTAACGGAAGATTTCCTAACATGCCGCATATGCCATGAAAAGTTCAAAGATCCCAAGGTCCTCAGCTGTGCCCATACGTTTTGCCAGCATTGCCTCCAAGACCATCTAGGCAAAAAATTTCAAGGTCAGCCTCACTTCCCTTGTCCTATCTGTAGACGTCAGTGTGTCCTCCCTGGAGGCGGTGTAAGTGCTATACAAACAAATCATCTTCTGGTCAGCATATCACAAACACATGGTCAAGTAGAACAAGCCAAAGCTGCCAAGAAATGCAAGATATGTTGCATGAAAAATGTCTCCAATCCACCAAAGGTAACAAAACGCTGTTTGGACTGTGAGGAAAGCATGTGTGGAGATTGTTCTTCAGATCATGTGCTTCATAAGTTCAGTCGTGACCACAAACTGTTTCCTGTCGACCAGTTTGACAGCGATGACTACGTGACAGAGCTGCGTGCCCGGCAAAACGTCCTGTGTGACCACAACAACAAGGCCCCCGTAGAAATCTTCTGCCCAGTGTGTGAAAAGTTCGTCTGTGTCGGTTGTATGGTTTTAGAACACCAGGGTCATGATTGCCTTAGAATCAACACTGCTGCCGACAAACGCAAGGAGAAACTAGAACTCAGAGTGAAGCCCATCGAGAAGAAAAGTCTACGGTACAATCACTTTAAAACTGTTGCTGAAGATCAGAAAATATCAGTAGAAGAGGGAAGAAAGAAGGCAAAGAGTCAAGTAAACAAGCAGTTGGAGCAAGTTGTTAAGATGGCCCGTCAACGTGCCAATGATCTTCTGGAAGAAATAGATGCCATGGCAAATGCCAAATTAGACATCTTAAATGGTTTAATTGCAACTGCTACCGCCGACCAAAACCAACTAGACGACGTAGTAGACTTCTCAAGGAAACTCATTAACCATGGCAACGATATAGATGTCCTCCAAATGGCCTCGACCTGTGAGCAAAGCAGCGAGAGCGTTCAGACTCTCGACATCCCGACCCTGCCTGCAGCCATGACCCAGCTACAGCTAATCACCAACGACATGGAGGAATGCGTTACCAATATCAACAGTTGTCTTGGAAACGTAGTTCCGGTCGTGAGTGGAAGACTGGTGACATCATTCAAAGTAGAACTGACCAAGTCTCCTGAGGAGATGATCAGTCACGTGACCACTGATATAAACGGTGATTTTCTTTTTGGCATATTCTGTAATGATGACAAGTCACGGAATAGAATCCTCATCTACGATTTGAACTTTGTCCTTCAGGGCACAATTTCAAACCCAAGAGCAGCACAAAAGTACGGCTTTGCAGGGATTGCCATTGATGATGATGGCAACATTGTCACTAGATGTCAGGGGTCAAATGAAATCATTATCTACTCCAAGAAAGGAGACCACGTGAGAACATTCCACAGTGAATCACCTCAGGCAGTAGCGGTCAATGGCAAGGGTCACTATGTAGTGGCAGGTCTTAGTACTCTGACTGTGCACCACAAGGAGGGCGAGGTCCTACAGTCGACACCAGACCCACAGGGTAAATATTTCAAATACATCCACTGTAACCTCAATGATGACATCATCGTCAAAGGAGATGATCACATCCGTGTATACAATTCCACTCTCCAGCTTAAATACAGATATGGTACCCAGGGTGACGGAGACGGACAGGTGAACGGTCCGTGTGGCACATGCTGCTTGGATAATGGAGATATTATTCTAGCAGACCTCAGCAACCATCGTCTTCACCTGGTGTCACCAGATGGGAAATTCAAGCGATTTCTTTTAACCAAAGAAAATGGAATTGATAGGCCGAAAGATGTTGCAATAAGTCATCTCGGACAACTGGTAGTTGGAGAACAGAGAGGGAAGATAAAATTCTTCGAGTTATGAGTGACTGTTAAGCTAACAATGGCCTCCAAATATGTGTTTGTGGATACAGACAATTGATTATTTGATAACTTATAAAATGACCATGTAAACACCTTGTAGCTCTTACGTCACTTGGATCACGAGCAGTTTGTTTCAATAAAGAATTCTTAGCAAACTGTTCTTATTTAAGGACGAGAATTGTTTCCTGTGACTTAGCATCATGGAATTTGAAGTATTTATCTATCACGTGTATTTTAATTTACAAATATTACGCATTGTAAATATGCTCTTTCAAGCTAATTCTGTAATTCTTAGAAATGAAAACTGAGGAGGAGTATATTTTATGCATGTCTGTTTGTTACTGGGAGTACAGGATGAATAGTATTAATCGTGTCTCGAATCTGGTTAGTTGTGAACTACGGAACTTGAATTAAAATATTGCAAACACCAACCTATAAACATCAATTCTAATCTGGATTTTATTTAGTTCCTGCTTCGAAACAGTTCCGTCTGCTTTCCCGTTTAAAAAGATTGTTTTCCAATCAAAATGACAAAATGTTTTTTAGTATTATATTATTAATAATAAATTGTGATCGAAACACATACCTGCGAGGACGGTCAATCTTTTATTTTGAATTATATACGTTATTCATTGAAGAATGTTATTTACTTTGGTATGTTTGTTTCATTAAACTGTCTGTAATTTTTTTGCATCGGGTTGTGACCCTACCATCATGGTGCTCACGAAAATTTTGTAACCCTCAAAGTTAAGTCTCGGCCGTACTCTGCATAACGTCTGGAATATTTTACTGCAATGTGTTTTTGTTTCTTATGTTTTTGAAGTGTCTGACCCCGGTACGTGCGCTGTAGTGCAAATGCGGCGAGTGGAAAACAAGTTGAATTACATTTACTACCTTCAGTGATTATAGATTCACAAGCCATTCTGTAGGGAAAATCCAAGTACACAAATGTTGACTTTATTTTCCTTGCAACAACGGAATAACTTACATGTGCCCCCAAGGTTCACGCAACTCTAGTTCGTGACTGCAGTTTTGAACTATCTGTTTTTCCAAATCATCCAAAACACTCCAAAATTTAAAGTCAGGTACCTTGTGAATAGCCAACGGCATTGAGAGAAGACAAGAATCCTTCTTTAATTCTGGAGGTACTGTCAACCAAAAGTTTGGATTGTGGACAAGCTCGATGTCGTTTTCGTGCGCCAGCGTGGCCAGGTACACATCTTCAATGAAGAGATGTTTCCAAAACGAGGCTGAATGGAGGACTCTGATGACTTGGAATGAGGCTACTGTAGCAAACCCTGACAGGAAAGCCGGATATTTATTTCCACTGTACTGCCTAAATGACTGGTAATATTTTTGTGTTAGAATTCGAAAAGGAGAACTCCCCTTCGGGTACAAATAGCCTGTGAATAACGTTTCCGTCTTGAATTTTGGAAGATCCTTCAAGTATCTAATAATCTCCCGGTAATTTGCGATAACATCGTGCCCGCACCTTAAGACAAATTTTACACCTGCGCAGTAATCAATGGCCCATCGCATGGCCAATAGTGTCTTTAGAGTGAAATTCTTGTAGGTGTCGTTAAATGTCATTTTGATGATATCTCTGTGTACAGAATTTTCTGCTAATATCCTACGTTCCACGTCTGAATCATTTGTTTGGCCGACGACAAATACAGTTTTTATTTTCTCTCCAAGAACGTCTTTAACGCTCCCACACGTCTTTCGATACATGCCCCTGGTGACAAAATCACGTGGATCGGATATAACTAACACTAGGAGAAACACGTCGTCTGTATTCCTGCAGGGGCTGTTTATAATGTACCTGTATCTTTTAATATGGTACCACAGGTCAGAATCATTTTTCTTTAGTTCACATACAATCTCTGGCACCATGCAATCCCCAAGACTAATCTGCTCAGTGTCCTCTTTAACTAATTCTCCTGCAGGCCTCCTGGTGAGATGTTCAGAAGGTTCCATCTGTCTGTTTCCACCTTCATCTTTGTTTTGGACGGAGATATCGCCAGTCCTGGTGCAGTTCCAAAGAAAACATATCGCCAGAATATTGATAACCACTAATAATAAGAAGATACCCGATCTGGTCTTCATTCCACTGTTTGTTTTGCCCTGCACAACGCTAGAGAGCATATATGACACCGTTTGTCACTATATCTCATCAGCTATTCCGTTATATACTACATTTAACATGTACAAGTATGTTATTTCAGTTTTCTAGTCCCTTGTATTATAATGGGGAGCACTGTCCGATATTCAAACACTCACAATTTCGAGTGCTGATGTTCATTGTTGGATGATTTACAACATGGTGTTCGCGCTATCTTTTATTCCTTATGTGGGTAATTATCGAAGCGAAGACGACACTATTAAATATTAATAAACAGGTGTATTCATGTTAAGATGAGGTTCTCAACGAGAAGGAGAAATAAATGTAAAACATTTCTGTGCTCAATGAATTATTATTATAAATGCAATTCAAGGTACAGCGTATGATAGAAGTACTAGTATAAACAAAACAACATGATAACACAATATCTCTCAACATTTTTCTTTGGTTAAAAAAAACTTTTTTTCGTGAAAAGATGTAATAATAATAACTTAGATTACCAGTTTACCAACATCTTGTAGATCTTACGTCATGGAGGTTTTCATTTAATTCTCGGCACAGATGGTTTATAAGGACGAGAAAAGTTAACCGTTCCTTAACAGTTATATCACAGAATATGAACTATTTATCATTTATGTATAACGTGTATTTTATTCTGCAAACATTAATCGTTGTCTGCTTATAGAATCTTTCAAGCAAAAAGATCACAGTGACTACAGAGGATGAATTGTGTTATAAGGGGTCTCGAATGAGATATGGTTAGTTGTGAACTACGAAACTTAAATTTAAAATACTGCAAACGCCCCCCGACAAACATCCGAAACTGGACTTTATTTAATATTCAATAAACCCCCTATGCAGCTTCGTAAAATCATCGTCTGCTGTCCCGTGTAAAAAGATTGTAGTCCCAGCAAAATGACAAAATGTATTTTAATATTATATTATTAAAAATAAAATGTGTTCAGAGCACAAATCGGTGAAGTTATTCAGTCGTGTGTTTTAAAGTATGCGACAGGAAAAAAGTGTCATGTACTTGAGTAATGTTTTGCTTCACTAAACTGTCCGTTAATCGATTGGTTTTTGCATCGGACTGCGACCCTTCCACCGCAGTGCACACGAATATTTATTAACTCTCATAATTAAGTGTCCGCCGCTTGATGTCAGCAGTGTTTTATTGTAATGTGTTTCGATGTTTTTAAAGTGTCCGACCCCGGTATGTGCGCTGCAGTCCGAATGCGGCGAGTGAGAAAAAAAAAGTTGAATTACATTTGCCACCTGCGGTGATTATAGATTCAGACGTGACCACAGGCTGTTTCCTGTCGGCCAGTTTGACAGGGACGAATACGTGCCAGAGCTGCGTGCCCGTCAAAACGTCCCGTGTGACCACAACAACAAGGACCACGTAGAAAATGGACTTGGTGGTCCGAAAGATGTAGCAATAAAGCGCATCGGACAACTGGTCGATGGAGAAAATAAAAGCGAAATTAAATACTTCGAATTATGAGTGACTGTTAAGCTAACGATGGCCTCCATATATGTGTTTGTGACAATTGATTATTTGATAACATATAAAATGGCCATGTAAACACCTTGTAGCTCTTACGTCACTTGGATCATGAGCATTTTTTTCAATAAAGGACGCTAAGCAAACTGGTCGTATATAAAAAAGAGAATTAGTTGCAGTTATATCACAGAATTTGAGGTAATTATGTATCACAGGCATTTTAGTTTGCAAATATTAACCATTGTAAATATGCTCTTTCAAGCACATTCTGTGATTCTTAGAAATGAAAACTGAGGAGGAATATACAACATTGGTCAAGAAGGTTGTCCCACCCCCATTTCCATTTACTTTCATTTACAAACGATCACCTCACAGCTGTAAATTGTTAAAAATGGTGCTTTTTATCACAGATACCGTGTATAAAATTATTAATGGTTAAAAAATACAAAATAGTGGTTAAAATATACATATTTTATACCATTTAGTAAAATTTATAAGAGGTACCCCCTCATATCCACTGTTTCACTGTGACTTCTACATATTTAAAAAAATGACTATTAAATTGAAAAGACGCCATCAAATGTCACCAAATTCACACACATTTAGCATTAGGGTGTGCTCGTTAAAGGCCACGTGCCTAACAGCGTGTGCGTCTACCGCGTACTGCAATTATCTCCTGTAGAGGCGCGACAAGCCTTCAACACGTGTAACAATTCTGTTTTGTGGGATATTGTCCCATTCTTCTTATACAAGTTGGAGGCGTTGGTCTATCCTTAGAGCATTTTGTTTCTTTAACAAACACTTGCCAGGCGAGAGGTGTGTGCGCAAGTTTGTAGTCATGATGAAGCCTGGAGTTAACCGCAGGGTCAGTTCTTGAGCGGGTCAGTTCTTGAAGTTGGAATGAGATATCAGCTGAGAATGCTACGTTCAGTGATCCCAGAGGCACCTGAACCTGTCCATCCATCACTGGAAGGAAGTCGGTTTTGATGCAGAATCAAATTATTTCTTGTATCTCATCGATGGTCAAATGAAGGACCACAAACATGTTAAAAATACCTTTTGGAAGGGTGTGTGTAGGATAATGTCGCCTGAGGTGTTAGATCAGTCCGCATTTGGAGAACATTCCAAGCCCATGGTATTGGTACATTGTGCCTTTTATTTATGCATATGTGTATGTTACTGGGAGTGCAGGATGAATAGTGTTAATCGGGTCTCGAATATGGTTAGTTGTAAACTACGGACCGTAAATTTAAATTATTGCAAACGCAAACCGAAAAACATCAATTCTAATCTGGATTTTATTTGATATTCATTAATTGCCCGACGCAGCTTCGAAACAGTTCCGCCTGCTTTCCTGTTTAAAAAGATTGTTTTC